GCATTGAGAGGATTGAACAAGCTGCTTGAAAATTATGAGAAATCTTTGGAGCATTATAGAAAAGGTTTTTCTCTTATTGAATGTCAACACCAAGAAAATCAGAAGTAACAAAAAAAAAGAACCAAAGAAAGTTGATGGTATTAACTTTAGTAAAGATTTCATCGGCCACAACTGCGACATTTACACTGTGATTCTATAGTTATTCCCGACTTAAAGCTTGGACAAAAATGAATGCATTACAAATCTTTACATTGTGGTAAAATGTTTGGCTTTTAATATTCATGTACATTTTATATGTTGGTGATATTAGCCAAATCACATCTGAATGTAAATTTAAGAACCTCAAAATAGAAATAATTTTTTTTGCAGACAATTTTCAAGGAAAAAGCTTTAACATTGTGAACATAAATATCAAAAAACTGACTTATGAAATATCGCGGGAACGATGTATTCGCTGTTAAATTCTGTGAAATTAAAGGTATTTTGATAAGCCTTGAGACAGACACTGATAATGAAGATTTTATTAGTGTTGTTGACTCCATCAATGCAGCAATCTTTACTCAATAAAACCCCTTTTGCGAATCGTAAAGGTGGAAAAATTTCATTTTAGGCTGTGTAGGGTGTTGAAACTTTGTTTTCTTTAAATAAAATTTGGTGGATATTTTCGATTATGATAGAACAAATCTACAACACAAACTTAAATATACTCAAAGTTACTTTACAACTGTAGTACTTAACCATCACTTAGTTTATATTTCTGTTGATAACGTAAATGTTTTACACTATTTCTCAGCTTAAACTTTATCGTTTCGTGTAGGTGACGTAGCTATCTCTTTTTTCCCGATGACGTGTATTTAACGAGGACCATGTTGTGAAATGTAAGTCTAACCTAGAGTTTTATGAAAACAAAAAAAACAGGAAAGCAATGATGGCAACATTGATGATAATTTTGCAGGATATGTGAATATAAGGACCAATGTTCCATGACTTAAAGAAAGAGTTTACAGCCAATAAACACGCTGGTGAGAAGGTGTACTATGTTGGTCAACATGATTATAATGTGTTTAATGTTCAAAACCAACAACTGTTCTTACTGTGAAAACTTTTGATCTACTAAGAAAGTCAAACTATTACAGGTCAGTACTTGTACATCAAACTTTAAACATTAAACAAGACTTTGTTGAATGCTTATTTTTATGTGAAAATCTTCCACCGTTCGGCGTAAATGTTTTTCCCTTAACGAATGAAATATGCAATGATTTCATCGTCTATGAACGATAACTATTATCGTAAATAATCTAGTTTCGTAGTTTCGTACTGCGTATGTATGAAATTACTTTTCTTTTTTCTTGCCGGTGTCCGAAGCCTAATCTGTGAGTCTGCAAATCTAAACCTTTAATTCAATTATCGAAAACTTTTACTAAAAATTTATAAAAAAATGCTTTGTTTCGAATCGGCAAATTTCGTGTTTCTATCCACTTTTCTAGAACATGGATGAATGAACAATATTGCAAAGAATATGGCTAATTTCACATTTTGAAGACTGGAAAAAAGATATCTTTTCTATGTCAATATTTACTTGTTGAACTGAGTCTCGAGAATGACTGCACGGAATAATAAAAGGGGAATTTAAGATCTGTTTCCGCATGCCATTGCTATTGGTTTATCTGTTTTTCAAACTTTAATGGTCGTTTATTAGAGAGAATTATTTCAAGATGTTTTTTCGAGAGGTAAGTTGTTAACACAATTTTGTTTAAGACTCTGTAGAAAATAATGAAAACTGCAGTATATATTACACCGACTGAAAATGGTGGTCACATCCCAGATGTTTGGCAATTGTTACCAACTCTATAATCACCGTTATCGCAACTACGTAAAAGCACTATTGATAAAGCGCATTTAATAAAAACGACAAGCTCTTTTAAAATAAACATGTTTCAACATCTCATGATGCCATCTTCAGTATATACTCTTTAAAAAAACTTGTCGTAATAATTACCGTTATCACTTCGCTTGATTTCCTTTTTCTACAAACATTTTCAATGTTTCAATTCAAGCTTCGTCTTCTTAAATTCGATGCGAAGGATGGAAAAGAGTCTGCTTAAGGAGGCATATACAGTAAAACTTTTACTAAAACTATGAGAGAAAATACTTTGGATAAAATTGATAGTGGTGCAAACAAGGGTGAAGTTTAATATAACGTAAAACAGACAAAGTTCATATTTTAGGCTTAGAAGATCATGGGTCTGTTGAAGAGAGTAAAGTTGACAATAGAAACAGTTTACAGATGTCTCATGAAACCCTTCAAAATGCTGGTGTATCAGCGAATCAAACTCGTGATGCTAAAGAGAGTCGTGTGGACGATGTGATTTGTGTTTCCCACGAGAATCGTGGATCTAATGAGGGACGAGTTGCTAATGAGTATCGTGTTGTCAAAGAATAGAAGTTTTTTCAGAGTTTCATGAAAACAGAAAAAAGGAAAGTGGTAATTTCAATGAGGGTGATAAATATGGAGAATATGTGAAGCTAAAGTCTATTGCTCCACTACGTACAGAGAGGTTACAGCCAATCAACTTTTCTTCGAAGGAGACAACCAAAATGACGTCACGTAGTATGGCGTCACATGACAAAATTTCAAGAAACATGATGCCCAGTGATTCATTAAGAAATTATACCAACATGGGTTACAGTCAATATGGCGATGATGTGTCTAGTGTTCATCATCAACAACTTGTTGTTGTGAGAACATTTGATCATCCAGGAAAGTCGTACAATTACAGGTCAGTTGTACTACCGCAGGTCAGCAATATTATTACAGGTCAGTCGTACTACCACAGGGAATTTAAACTATTAAAGATCAGTTCTACTACCACAGGTCAGTTATACTAATTACGGGTCAGTCGTACTACCACAGGGCACTTAAACTATTACAAATCAGTTGTACTACCACAGAGCAGTTATACTAATTATTGATCAGTTGTACTACCACAAGGCACTTAAACTATTACAGATCAGTTGTACTACCACAGGTCAGTTATACTATTACAGATCAGTTGTACTACCACAGAGCAGTTATACTATTACAGCTTGGTTGCAGTACAAGTCACTGACTCGAATTCAACTGCACACGTAATCCTACTCTGTTATTTTTTCACCTCCAATGGCTTACTATGCTTAATTTTATCAAACACACACGTTGTCTTTCAGGGATGTGTTGCTATCGCTAATTGGGGGTGGCTCTTATTCATATATGCATGTTTTAAATCCGTAGATAACAATACATTTCAAAAGATATTAATTCAGCATATCATGAATATATGAATAAGAGCTCCTCAATTAGCGATAGGAATACATCCCTGTTGGCTTTTCCTTTGGTTTTAAAGTTTTAAAATTACCATTGCTCTTTGTAGACGAAGGAGATCATTGCCAAGAAACCACTCAAGACTGAACTACAAAAATTCTTTTAAATCTTCGACGACTCGCAGACGAAAACCTTTACCATCTGCCTGGACTATAAATCTTCGAAATTAGCCGTCAAGACATGAAAATTATGAAGATGTTCACTCTTATTACTTACCACCTAGAAGAAAAGCCAAATATCAAGGTTCAACTCGTACACAAGATTACATGAATCACGAAAAGAAAGTTTGTGAGGCTAAAAGTCATGGTTGTGGTAATAGTAAAAGATACATTGTTGAAAACCGTCCAAAACTATCCCATGCTAAAAATGCTAAAAACTCGACTCATTACAAAACTTCTAGTCGATCACAACTCAGCTCACATTCAGATGCGTCAGAAGTAGATTATAAATCATCGCCTGTCCTTCAAGACCAAATTAAAAATGAAAATTTTCAAGCAATTTATTCCGACGAAAAGTGGGAAGAGAAATCACATGACCCAGAAATCATGTCCATTGTCAGTGGCAGTGAGTTTTCTGAATTCTTACCCACTCCTCCACGGCCAAGCGACAGCCAATCAGATATCTCTACGGATGGATATTCCCGTGGTAGTTATAAATCATTTAAAAACAAACTTGAAAGAAACGTTAAAGAAAACAGGGAGGTTGCTGTTGAAGACAGAAGTCAATCAGATCAAAAAAAGCATAATGAAGAAACTTTAGAGGTATTTATATGTAAAATAAAGTAAATGTATTTGATGTTTTATTTCTTTGTCCTTGCACTGCTATGGGTCTATTCTATTTACTTAACATAAGTTTCAAAAATCTTTCACATCATTGCTTTATGTTGTCTACAGTCAAACAAAATTTTCTATTTTTCCTATAAACAGCGTTTACGAAATGGTGAGACGCGTGAGAGGAATGGAAGGGTAAGTAGAAAAAATGTCGGTTCATTTATTAAAGAGACGAGCAGTTCATCGTGGACTCATAATGACAGCGGTTTTAGAAAGAAACATCATGTGCCAATAAAAGTCCTACCACCAGAACCAGTTTTTATTCAGTTTGAAAGTAGCGATGAGGAGAAAGAAAATTGAAATTGAATAATTTTGAAATGAACTATAATCAACATTTATTTAATTATTTTCACTTTCCGGGTGCATTTAGTGTCTATGTAATAACTTTTTATTTATTTCTTCATATGTTTGTGCATGCCTGTGTGACATTTAAATTGAATATTCACAAATAATTCAATCTCTCCCCTCCCCCTAGAGAAGATATAACATTTTTTCCCTAAAAAATGTACTTCCCACTGTCTTTTTTTTAATTTCTTCGTTGTCAAATAATATCTTTGTTTGGCGACATTGCAAACAAGGTGTTATTACTGTTGGTTCTAACCTGACGGAAAACGTTATAGAAATCAAACTTGTTGAAATACTTATCAAATATTGGTGAGTAATTACCAAGAGTCGCGACACGAAGCCCTATGACGAAGTAAACGGCGCGAGAAACGCCCACAATATAAAACTCACACTCACTGAGAGTGAGAGCGGCATAAAAATTGCGTTCCCTATAAACAATGATGTAGTCATTTCTCAATGGCAAGGTTTTTGCTGAAGTATTTTGCATGGGCATTTGACATTAAGTTTAACTTTCACAAAATTCCTTAAATGTTCTCTTCCATAACCCCTTCATAGTGCATACAGTGGATGCTCAGCATTTTTTCCAAACCCCAGCTGAGATAATTAAATTCCGACTATTCTTAAATCATGCTGAATATTTATGATGAGAACGTTGAAAACAACTCATTTGTGTAATGTTGATTTATGAGGTAGACGGAAACAAAACCGATGACGATTCTTGAAGATTGAAGAAATTTTTGGTAGGTTTTACTGACTTAGTTGTCGCTACTTTGTTTTTTGTCGATATTAAAGACTGGTTCGTTTTAAAATACCAGGCTGCATCTCTGAATTCTTTCCTTACATATAAAAACAAAGTTGAGGAAATTACATTGCGTTGGAAGTCAAATTTAATCACCAAGAGACTGTCTGCTTATCTTGTTTATCTCTGTATGAACAAATCCTAAGATTATATTTTATATAGCTTTTTTTCCCCAAAAAAGTCTGCTATGCTTGATTTTTACTTTTATCAGAAAGAATTAAATAAAATCAATAATAGGAAGATAGCGAAACTTGCGGCGTCTAACGAACAAAGATCTTTTTTCTGTTGAAAATCTAAATAGTTGCATGTTAAGTAGATTGGCTTTGCTCTAACGCAATATTTGGGTACCCCCTCACCATTCGTACGTAATATACTTCGCCGCGTACTTAATTTACCTAGCAAAATTTTCTTATGTTTGCCATATACAATTTCTGGCAAAATTCAGATTTTATATTTAATATCTTTGCTAATTTATGCAAAAATATTAACATGTATAATCTTTTAAATATGCCCCAATATGTACTAACACAATGAACCAAAATTTCATTCGTTGAAAACAACAAGTAAGTTGCTGAGCATATAACAACTATCAGCGGCGTAACTATTGGGAGGGTTTGGGGGGATGCTTCACCACCCAATTTTAGGTATGTTATATCACTATCTGTGATCATATTCTTGAGGTTGATGATAAGAATGACTACGATTATCACGGTGCAAAAGCAGAAGCTAGAGCTTAATGTTTTTGATGGCCTTGCACTCATTGTCAAACTGTTGGAAACAATATGAAACAATGAATCTGAATTGAATAATCAAACAGACGCGAGTGCAAAACATTTGGATGGCAAAGCTGAGACTTTGGTATAGTCATGCTACGTCATCCCAGCTGATCAAAATGCCCGATTGAGGTCCTCAGTTCTCGTATTGAAGACCAAAAAGATAACATGAAGGATTGTTTGCCATGTCTTTCAGCCTCCGATGACCCGACCGATTTTTTGAAAAAATTGCAAAACTTGACATTTTTGTGAATTTTGCAAATGAGATTGAAGATGCATGACACAAGAGACATTGCTTTTTAAAATATATAAATTTTCTCCAACGTTTACAGATTTTTTTTACATAAAGGGATGTATAAATTTTTGCCAGCCGATGTATCTTATGTGCAAGATCAAAGAGAACAGAAAAAGGAATTTTATCTACTGCCTTTTGTTTAATAAAATCTGTATCAAACGCCTTATCGATGGAATAACGGCAAAGAACTTGGCTTTGATCTTTTTCATTTAGCCAAGTGAAATTGACAAACATGCATTTTTGATTGCAGATTTACTGAGTCTCGGTAAATTTACACAATAAATGGCATTAATCAACTACAATGAAGAACTTGAATCCAAAGAATTGCAAAAAAAATTTGAACGCCTGCCTTTAACAAAAAGTTCATCAAAAGATGACAGTAAGTTTTATTGTGGAATTTATGCGAGTCATGCACTTTAGCTTATGTTATATATTGTGTAATATAATTTCCAACGATTATATGGATTCATACAGATTTCTTAATGATGCGATTGTTTTTTTCCTCGTCATATCAGGACATTTTAAGTCTCCCCGCTGGATCATGCGTTCACAATTTTTAATGATTTGCGATTGCGACGCAAAAAAACCTTTCATGTCATTTTCTGGGAAAGATAATAAATTTTAATACTAATAGTCACACATAATTTATATACATCATAAGAAAGTTATTGAAAACAATGTGAAATGTTCTATATGAAACATTTGTAGAAAGTTGAAATTAAAAAAATTTTGTTAATTTGACCAAAGTATGTATTTTTCTCACGGTTTCTTTTTAGGTATTAGATGTTGCATGTTCCGTAGATAGATAAATATTCATTGTAGCATTCATTGAATCAACTATCAAGCATGAAATTATTCGTAATTATTCGTCTCATGAAAATAGAACAGTTGTATAATGGGAAATGAAGATCGCTTTTCGATATGACTATATGTTTTTTAATCCAATCAAATTTGCCCAAAACGACGTATGCTTATGTCCTAATGACATCATAATTGCTAACATAGGCACAGAATATGGAATACGCATAAGGGCCACTTCGCTGTGAGCTTATGGTGCTGTGCTGTAAATTATATAGATTCCTGGCTGTGGCTAGCCATTTCATTGTTGCTATTAGTAAGAATATAAAATCTGCTTGCTGCCTCTACGGTTTATAATCACATGCGTAATAAGATAAGCGTTGCACACCTTAAGGTTCGAGAAGAGTATCTAATGTATTTTTTATTGACAATAAACGCTGCTGCAGTGTTTTTAACTGAACACTATTTTCAAGTAGCCAGAGTGAACGGCTAATAGGCGTCTTGTTTATTTTATAATAAAGCAATTTACGTTGTAAAATGGTGGATGTGGCTTGTCGAGACTGAAATGGATAGTTTTCTAAAAAGTTAACTTCTTTGGGATAGTAAGATTCACTCTCGCTTTGTGATAGCTACCATCTAAATGCATTTCGCTTCGCCTTTGAACAATTTAAATCGCTTTTAAATCAATTTTAAAAATAAAATATCACTTTGTTGGAATTTGGACCACGGCCACGGCGAGGATATCGTAAAAAGGTGCCCGTTGCTGCCGTTAAGCAGATTGCAAGAAATAACATTATGTATTTACAAGCAAAATAAATTATTGCATGTTATTTTCATATAATCATTGAGTGGGCAGGAAAATCCGAATTTTTAGGGTAAAATATAAAAACGTTATTTACCGTTGAAGTCAGTCGGTACTTAAAAATATTTTTAGTACGCACCCCTCAGCCTGTAAATAACATATATATATTTATGTATTACAGAACTTTATGAGCAATGCAAGGTTATTGATGTAGGTCTTTATGGCTTTACAATATACTTAAAATTAATGTTTTATGCATGATTTATGTTATGAAAGATAAAATGCTTGCTTTACTAAGGCGGTTTTCAATAGAGCATTTATGGTGTTTGTCCTTCTTCTAGTGAAGCTTGTGTAAAGATAAAAATAATTTTTTTATTGCTCATTTAGTTGCAGCAGAAGCAAAAAGGTCCTTTAAACCACGACGTTATGTAGGTTGGTATGGTCATACAGCACACTTATAATGAGTGCCTTTTGAATTATTATGAATTTTTGGGGTTGCCACTATTGTTGACAAAAATAATTATTTAGTTGGACATCTATATTGAAATACAAGTTGATATAACTCATTTATATAACTACTTCTTTTTTTGGTTAGCAATAAAGATATTTAAGAAACGTTATCCTAAAGGTTAGTATGGCCATGTAGACCTTAAGGTAATGAATATTTATAGTTGTTTCAGTATGATAAAAACATTTTTGTATATATGAAATGATGTTTTAACCCTATACGTCGCGTTCCAATTGTCTTCTACCTGGGTCATTTTCGTGCATAATTGGTCTTTGTAAAATCGCTGTTTCACAGCAAACAAAATATGCCTATTATATCGATTAACTCGTCAAGTGTGAACATTAACAATACATAGTACCTTTATTGCTAATTTTCTTATTGTAGAAAGGATAAAGACAACGAAACCACCACATCGTACAGGTTGGTATGATAATATAGTATTTTAATGAAGAAATGGTTGCTTTCGGTTTCTATAATGTATTCATTATATGCACAGGTGTAAACAAGAAAATTATTTATCGCTTCAAATTAACGACAAATTAAAACAACCCATTACTCCGTCGATCCACAAATCTTGCTGAGCTCTGTTTTCTGTGCGTATAAAGAACAAACCACTCATAGTTTGGAAATAAATTAGAAAATTAAACGAGACTTACCTGAAGTCGAAGTTTGATTGAAATTCTATGAGTTACTGTTCAGGAACTAGGAAGTCATGTGAGATAGAGCGCGCGATATCAAGATCAGTTTTTAAAAATTTGCGAACGTCCACATACATATTGGGAGGCAAGTAGTATTTAACATCATTTAAAAGAAGTAAGTTAGTAGTTGGGCGGGTGACTTCCTAGTTCCTGAACAGTAACTCATAGAATTTCAATCAAACTTCGACTTCAGGTAAGTCTCGTTTAATTTTCTACTTCTATTTCGTCACTGTTCTACGTCACTAGGAAGTCATGTGAGATTTTAAAGCTAATAACAAAAGAATATAATTGAAATTTCACATTTCATGTCTCACAAATGGCATAAAGTACATCATTGCCAAAGTTCTTCGCCTCAATTGGTTTATTATAAAATGTTTGAAAAGTTTGTTCATTACGCCATGTAGCTGCATTCATAATAGAGTCCATAGAAATATTCAATGCGTTTGCCGCAGAAGTTGATGCAGTTCTAGTACTGTGTGCACTGTAAACCTCAGTATTTATACCAGCATCCTTTAACACGTATTTAACCATCGGGAAATGGTCGCTGAAGTGACCGAATGATAAGGTTTTTGATAGCTCAATAGGAGTTGTCTTGCACCATTTCGTATGGGTGCAGTGACATTTAGATAATGGGAAAAGTAATTGAATACACATAACCCAGGCTCTGGTGGATAAGCCCGAAATTCTAAAGGAGCAGCATGCTTACCAGCTTTAGATGTTTTGAGCAGTTGGTGCACATGAAAAACTACTCGATCTTCTTTCTTCTCCATAAGAAAAATATCCAATGCATGAAGTGTTTGGCATCGCTGACCAGATAACAAAGCTAAGAGCATTACTGTTTCTAGTGTTAATGATTTCAAACTGAGATCTTTCGGAGGGTGGAGATTTCGAAGATGTTCGAATACCACTGAAACGTCCCAGACCATGGCATATCTAGGAAGAGCTGGTCTTGCAACAAATACACCTTTAACAAACCTAGCAACGAGTGGATGTGTACCAAACGAGATGCCACTTGGTAGCATTAGGATAGTAGATAAGGCGCTCCTTGCAGTATTAATACCGCTGTAGGATAAACCTTCCTGGTATAATTTTGTAAGGAAATTAATGCCCTCTTCTACAGAGGACGCGACAGGATCGATATTGTTTGCGTTGCAATATTGTCGCCAACGGTTAAGGTATGTAGAATATTGCTTCTTGGTACCGGTCCGCCAGGACTGCTGGATGATTTGAGAAGCCTCTGGTGAAATGCCTCTATCAGAGAGGAGTTCCCCGATAAATGGCAAAGTAGTAGCTCCAGTTTTGTATGGAGAGGGTGGATTTGATCCGGATGAGCTGGAAGAGTTAAGGTCATTTTTCCTCTAGGTAAAACAACAGGATGTGCTATTAGCATCTGCATTAAAGCTGGCCACCAACTTTGTGTTGGCCAGTTAGGGACTAAGACTAGTCCCGTGCTTTTCTCTTGTACTATTTTTTGTAACACTTGCGAAATTATGCTAAAAGGCGGGAACGCATAAAATGTATAATTGGCCCACGATATCGTAAAGGCGTTGACAGCTATAGCATACGGGTCAGGTTGGTATGAAACATAGGGTTTCACTTGATTATTCAACCTTGACGCAAACAAATCAATGTTCGGAGTTACGTCTAGTTTTTGAATGGCACACGTAAACAGAGTCTTGTTCAACTGCCATTCTGTTTCTCTGCGTGATATTCGAGATTCTCGATCCGCAGTGACATTTTGTAATCCTGGAATGTGCGCTGCTGTCAAACAAATATCATACAAAATGCAGCAGGTCCAGATATTGCATGTCAACTTGTGAATAGACCTTGAGTGGCATGTGCCCATTTGATTAATGCAAGCTACAGCGGTTGTATTATCAATTAATACCTTAACATGCTGACCTTTTAGTTCTGAAGAAAACGACTCAAGGGCAAACAATACCGCAAGAAGTTCCAAGTAATTTATATGATTTGAAGCCTCCAAGGGCGTCCAGTTACCCCCAGCACATACACCATTTAGGGAGCAGCCCCACCCTGTCAACGGCGCAATTACTTCATTGTGAGTAATTTGCCTGTAAGTCGTGCATATTGATGACTGCCACCATCGTAAATCATGTATGGCCTCTGAAGACAGGGTCATTGTCTTGTCAAAATTACCCCGGTTTTAGTTAAGAGCATCGCTTTTATCCATTTCCAGCCAGCGATAATGCAACTGACCGTACATTACGCCCGGGAGATAAGAAGTTAGAGTGCCCAAAACCCGAGAAACATCCCTTATTTTTGGGTGAGAAGCTTGTAGCAGCTCATAACACATGCATTTTATCTTCTCAGCTCGTTCCGTCGTCACAGATATTCGCATAAGAACTGAGTTGACTCGGAAACCCAAAAAAGTAATTACTTGTGAGGGAACTAAAACTGACTTATCCGGATGTACGTAAAACCCCACTTCAGTTGCCCTCTCCACCAAAATTTGAGAAATTTTTGATATGCTGGGTGAATAGGTAGGGAATAGTAAGCATCTTTGAGATCGATAGATGCCATGAAACAATTTGGTTTCATAAGCCTAATAGCTGACCAAACACACTCCATTTTAAAATGGTGATATCTGACATGCCTGTTTAATGATTTCAGATTAAGAATCATGCGAAAAGAACCGTCTTTTATGGGGCAAGGAAAATTGGAGATATAAATTCCCCTGATTCAGGGTGAGAAATCTGCAAAACGCCTTTTTTGCGTAATTTGTTTATTTCTAAATCAATATTGTTCATTTCAACCTCGGGTAACTGTATTTGCTTGGGTAAAGCTCTTTGAATCAGAATTGTGTCAAATTCAATTTTCTGTCCGGATACTGTCTCTAAGATTTCCTTATCAGAGGTGAGCACTTAAATAATTTGATATGCTGCCAGCCTGATAGGTCTCCAAGCTTTTATTTAAATACGCTATTAGCGTGGGTACAAAAGAAGAGTACTGGTTTACCTGTAAAGTCTTAAAATTTCTTAAAAATTCAGTGTTTTCTACTTGCGATCGTTCATTGTGTCCGATCGTTTCTTCCCGAATTGGTTCCTTTTCGACCGATAGGGGGTGTTGCCCTGATGACGGGATAAAAAATGGCGCCATTGTTGTTTGGAATGTTGCTGCCAAATGGTGTTAGAAGAGCTTGTTGTCGCGTTGCCAATTTTGTTGGATGTGCGAATGTGATTAATTTGGGTTTGCAATTCATCTCCAAACAAATATTTCGTAATGGGAACATGCGATGCGCATAAAGTACTAAATTCTCGATGGAGATTGGGACGTATAGCGTCACGTCGTCGTTGAGACAATTCAAAACTTACATGTCCCAGAATCGCTATGATATCAGCGTTCATACGAACAAGATTATCAATATTCAGTTCGCTGCTGTTATTGCGGGCAACCAACAGATCATTGGTGGCTTGTGTTGCTATATGACCGACATTCGTCAGGGCTGATTGAATTGCACTCAATTGTAAATCACGCCCTCTAGCTGTGCGGTCTAATTTTCCCCAAATTTCGGGGTTTACCTTAGGTACAATAAGGCGATCGCATTTCTTAGGCCTAAAATATTTAGCCTGTTTTTCCTTCAATTGCTCGTCGCTCAGCTTATTCAGACAACGCTGATTGATAATTGAGGCGAGCTTCTCGTTGACGATTGGTGAAGTTTTCTCAGTTTCGTCTAGAGTCTGCGAAATCTCTTCCAGCAACGGGTCCACTGCTAGTTGTTCTGCTTCACAATCTGCGTCATGCCCTGATTCAGGGATTAAAGCACTTGCTTTCCTCTTACGAGTAGATTCTACTGTAGAGGATGCTGACGTTTGCTGCATTAACCTGAGTGATTCACTCATTGAAGTCATTGCTTCAATCATCCTACAAAGGGCGGTTGCCACATTCAAATTCTTTGAAGTGACTTGCACTTCTTCGCTTTCTTCCATCAAGTCATCTTGTTCATCGTGTTCAGCAAAACCCAGGAGTGCTGCTTCATCTCCGACATCATCTCTTGTCGTATACTCTTCACTTGTAGAAGCCATAATTCAAAAAATTTGTAGTATAGTGTGGAAAGGAACTTTTTGTAACTGATTGCTGTGAAATCTACGCTCGAACTGATCTTGATATCGCGCGCTCTATCTCACATGACTTCCTAGTGACGTAGAACAGTGACGAAATAGAATGGATATGCGCGTAGAGCGCATACCGAATTATAATTTATTAAATTTTACAAATTTAAGGAGTTGAATTTAACGTAAGAATGCTTTAACAAATATTTTCACTGAAAAGGTTGGGAATAAAACGCCACAAGGACTGTGGGATAGGCAGAACTCACCCCACCCAAACATGATTAGTGGACTGACGGAACATAAATGTGTAATGGACACTGACAATCATTTATCCAAATTTAATGAAACGTATAATCAATGTACAAATATGAAAACTTTGTTACAACATCAAAACTTAATACCAACATCGTTATGAAAACAACAACTATTAACCAGCCGTGCCCTTGCTTTGGCTAGTAAAACTCCAATTGACAAATTAGACGTAACCGGCTTGGCGTCCGCGTGGCTTCTATCTATATGTAATATATTGATAACTACCGTTTAAAGTGATATCTAATATAGACTCCCCAAACCCTGAAGCCACCGTCAAAACACCTGAATAATGCATGGATTATAGAGTTATAGCTAAGGTCAGAGTACGGATATATTTTTTAAAAGTATCAGATTTCCAACAGCCCATTGTTCGTATTTGCGCGTCTGACAAACCGGATTCGGCTGCATGAATAGCCGACCCAAAGCGAAAACTGTGACCTTTGTATATACGAGCGTCGAGCTCACAATGTTTGAGTGCTTTTGCTAAGATGGCATCGAAATGTCTTCGTTACACTGGGTGGCCATGCATTGAACAAAGCAAGGGGCCCTCGGAAACCCCTCGACGAGTAATATACTCCTCTAAACTCTACACATGGCACGTGTCTAATCGGCGATATAAGTTGATTTGAACAGACTGACGGTTATAAGAATGTTTGAAATCACGAAAAGTGATCTTGAAACTAACCGTAAAGCCATCACTATTCAACAATCTCTTCATCTGGCTAAGCTGAATGCATGATGAGGAACGGTCGCTTACTCTTATTTCGCCAATACGTAGGAAGGCAAAAAAGGCTGTCGTGAACATGGTTTGAAATAAGGAAGTCATATAATCCCTAGAACTAAAAAATAGCATAGCCTCTTTAATTTTGTGTAGGATAGGAAGAGTGATTGGTAGACGGGTATCCATTCGAGTTCCCTTTTTATTATAACCTTTCAACATTTCCTGCACCCAAAAAACTTTGCTGGGATCGGCGAGCCCTGCCAAACGGTGACAGTAACCGAGTGAGGATACGTAAGTGTGTGCTGTTGAAGCAGCATAATGATGTTGAAACGTAAATGCAATAAAAAGCGAGTTTGGTTGGTGTTATTGGTAAAGGTATAGAAGGCATATCGAATAATTGTGTCGAAAATAGACTGTAAAGTTTCCATGCTCTTTTGTATGTTGGGATTGACGATGGCTGCAAGCCCGGAAGTAACCACTGATATGTATATTACACTGGATAATGCACCCTGTATAAAATATCGTGAGATAATTGAAGCCGGAAGTAGGCTCATCTGATTATGACCTTCCTTGGGGGTATCGGTCTTACTTTACTATACTTTTGTATTACAAAATCACAGTTTTTGCGTTTTTATTCGTTATAAAAACTTTTGATTCGAGCAAAATTTTTGTGAAAGGGACAGAATAACCGGTAAATATTATTAATCGTAAAAAGTTTGTCTTCTTGGCTTTATAATGGCAGAAAATTGAGATAGAACAAGGTCGACCTGCATTGTTTTAAAACAAACTGTAGATTTTATGATGCTGCTGGTTCTTAAAGAATGTACAAATATTACAGAATCCTACTACTGCTACCAAAATTTCATCTGCAATGACTTTTATGGAAGATTGCTACAAATTTACTTATTTAACAACACTTTGTTATTCACATCGCAAAGATCATGATTTGAAATTACGTCTTTATTATATCAATGAAGAAACAAAACAAATCGACATAGAAAAGAATCAGAAAGACAATTTGATGAACAATAGTAAGTTGAAAACGGTATCACCAAGCTCTACGAGATGTACATCATCAAAATATGTGAATTAAAGTACCTCTGTTGTCATTAAGCGAAGCAAAGAACAAACAACTTCAATATCGATGAATATGTTGAAGATATGAATACCTTTGTTCTTACTTTGTTGTAAATTTGTAATTTAAGTATTCATCTTCTAAAAATGTCTTGCACGGCTGAAATTGTCCTCGTCACCTTCAACTTTCAAATTTTGATACAACTTGCCATCTTATTCTCAGTCGTTACAAAGCCAAAAAAATAGAGCTTCAGGGTTAAAACTCTCTACCGGTTTTCCTCTACATGTCATAAAATTTTTGCCTTAATCAGAAGTTTGTAAAACTGTGCAATGTGAAGTAATTGATAATTTATCTTCCATCTTCAATTTTCGCCAGTGGTGGCATCATTGCGAGCGGCATAAATTCTAATCTTCTTGGCAGTCCGAAGCAGTTCATTTCTTTACTTTCTAAGTGAAAGTTTACGGTGAAATTGTAATGTGCGTAAGGTCAATATGACAGTGAATAAGAACGCACATTTAGTACGTATGTAATACATAAGATATATGTGAACTGTGAAGCGTCTGATTGCGTACAAAGATGAAGCAGAAGTTATAAACAATAAGCAAAGAATCATCGGTGACATAATCCTGTGAAAATGTTGTTATTTTGAGAAATATCTAGAAACATTACGACTCAAAAGTTGACTTGTATTATATTGCCTCATGTTGCTTTTTATTCAGTCAAGTGGAACTAAACATGGGCTCGATCATTCGATTATGCAAACGAGATTTCAATAATATAAAACTTAATAAAAAAAGTAACATCTAAAAGCCAAGATGTTATTCAAATGCAGGGTGGCTGACGAAGTGCAATTCATGTATATAATACAATCTACTGTCTGGTAATAGGTCCAATTGGTATTATTCGCATTGCTTATACATCGCTCGATTTACTCATCCAGAGTTAAAGTAGTTTAATCAAAAGCCGAAAGCAAATAAATTTATTTTGCTTTCGAATATTGTGCGAAATATTTTAATATTATTTATGTGGTTTACAATTTTACATCTAGTGAAATATGATACGTGTCAAAGTATAAAGTACATGAACAGGAAATACAAAATACTTTCGATCACTTGCAATCATTGATCAAAGCGTTTACTATCAAACATTGTTCGCAATAAGCACAAAATCTTTGGAAAAATATAGACTTTCCAAAGCATGATTAAGATGTATTTATTAGCTATATAAATGTTGGGGAAAAATGAATTGGATAATTGTGCATATGACGTACACAAGTGAAATACAAATGATATGTTTAGTTTTGGGTGGATTTTGCACGTCCATTTTTTTCTCTTTTGTCATGCATAACATGCAGGCAAACTGTTATGTAGGTTAATTATCTTCATGAAATCTTTGTTTAACAGCAATGAAATATATTGCACCAGTTAACTCGTCAAGTTTAAACGTTAGCGTAATGCTTTTGTTGTTTATTTTCTTACTGTAGAAGGAATAAAGACGTCGAAACCACCACATCGTACAGGTTGGTATGGTCTATCGTTAAAAAATATTGTTTGTTTGTACATCTATGGGATAGAAAAAAATATTATATTGACTTTTTTCGAAAGATTTTGTGCTCAATTTTTTCTTATTAGAGCGCCCTTCCAAAGACTTTGCATCTGCGCCTGGAGGAAAGCCTACAGAAAGTTACAAACCTCAAAACGATGCAGAAGCTACTTTCAAGGATGACGGTAATTTTGCAGTTGCAATTGTACAAGACTTTTACAATTGCATTTGTGCAAGATACTCATAAATTGTCATGTACAATGTGTGCTACAATGTGTGCATAATTTCATGTACAATGTGTGCATAATTTCTTAAAAGCACGATGGATATCAGACATTTTAAATGAACGACGAGTTTTTTTATCGTAAACATGTTTCGGCAATGTGTCAAAACATTGCCAATTTGTTTCGGCAATGTGTGCATAATTTCTTAAAAGCACGATGGATATCAGACATTTTAAATGAACGTCGAGTTTTTTTATCGTAAATATATATATATATATGTGTATGTGACTATCGTTAAGTGTATTAAATTACAAAATTAGTGTTAGATATTATATTACAGGTTAAATATTGTATTAATGTGATATATTTGTTTGTTGAGGTCTGGTTTGAGTTTTTGAATGTATAGCGTTTCTTTCAGTTTAAGAGAAAGAGGAGAGTTGGCGGTGTCTAAGATGCGAAAACATGAATGGCTGTATTTTGATTTGCAATGTGGTGAAGTGCGAAGGTGTTTATAAATATGTGAGTTTTTGTCGGAATGTGTGTGTTCTTTGATGCGTGTGGAGAGATGGCGAGTTGTCTCACCAACGTAACGGGAATTACATCCCGCACATGAAAATTCATAAACCACGCAAGATTTAAGTAGAGCTGGAATACTGTTTTTAAAACTAAAAAGATTTTTTATTTTGTAGGATGAGAAGACCAATTTGATTTTTAAGTCAACACAGAAGCGTTTTGTTAATTTCCGTAGTTTTTGTTGACTTAACGATAGTCACATACACATATATATATATATCATGTAAATAGCACAATCACCTTCACTCGATGTACTGAAGATGGCATAAGCATGCCGAAACATGTTTACGATAAAAAAACTCGTCGTTCATTTAAAATGTCTGATATAACAGGTTATTTTATGTCTTCATTTCCTCCATGATTTTTTTGTGACGCCGAATACCTTCATGTCATTGTCAATTTATAAACATTACAGGATCTGGGGTCAACTTTCTCAACATATTCATGTAATGTAATAAAGTTCATCAGTCCAAGAGCCCGAATTTCTTTCAAAGCTCTTAAATAGTGGCAGATCTAGGGTTACAAGTTAAAATAAGTTATAGAGTCTCATTTAAAATTCAAAATACTTCTATAACAACGCTGTTGTTAAAAAATTAGTAAAGAATATTCAAGACTAAGTAATATACTGCCTATATGATTAGCTCATAAGTCTTTAGTGATATATTTTGACCTATCCTGGACCGCTACTGACTCTTGAATGATTTTCTTGTTAAATCATTGAAATTACACTTAACCTTCTTGCATGTAACGATCTTTCGCCTCACATGCCAGCGATTTCTTCATTTTACGACTATCATTCCTTGTTTTCTCTGACAAAAAAACATATTATATTTCTTATAAGCGTATAAACTTGTTTCTTAACTTTATAGTATGCTTGGAAATATTTGTAATTAACCTAACTGCTTTGTTTGACGTTTTATAAAAACCCACCTAATTATTGGAATTCTTAGTTCAGGTTACAAAATATATGGGAAACTTTAAGATACTTCTAAATAAAGTCATTTCTTCCTTTTCATCATCCTTCTTTGAATGATCTACTTTTCTTTTGAACTTAAGAATTGTCGAAACCGTGGAAATGTATTGATAAATCAAAAATGCACGAGGAAATGCTCAGAAAATTGGAGAAATATTGGCGGGAAAATCCAACAAAGTTTAAATTTGTTAATGGTGTTCTTGTAATTTTCTCAGAAGAGTTTTTACTTGGCAAAGGAAGTGACGGAGCCCGTGTCTATCTTGCATTGGGAAAAGACGGTTACGGAAAAGCTGTTAAACGACTTCTTCAAGATAGTTGCACAGAGTTAGCCAAACAAGAAAAAGATATTTTGATTGAGTTTAATGCAAAGCGTTCAAATTATGTTGTGAGTTGGTACCTTGAAGAAGAATCAGGCGCAGAATATACCCATTTGGTATTAGATTTATGTGAAGAATCGTTGGAGAGTTTTGTGGAATCTTCTACATTTGATGATCTTCAAAAAGCACTTCCTACAATTCTTAAGCAGATTTTAAAAGGTTTAGCTGATCTTCACAGTGGTCCGTGTCCTATTCTTCATCGGGATTTGAGACCATCAAACGTTCTTCGCGATGTACAAGGAAATTTTTTAATTGCTGACTTTGGTATAAGTCGAATATTATCTGATGAAACTTCGACACATCGGAGCATACAAAGAGGAGCTAAAAATTGGATAGCTCCAGAGTCATATGACGCATGTGATGCATCAATTGATAAAGCTCGTTACAATAAACAGTCTGATGTTATGGTAAGTTCTTGAAGTAGAACTAGAGGTCCAACTACAGGTCAATGTTACGTTTGCATTTGAATGTTGTATTTGGTAGTGATAATGATTTTAAATAAAATTGTTATTTACCTCCATTGTACAGTCATATAGTGGCGAAATACAAATTGTACTGTATAAAATATAAAAATATGTATATGTATGATAATGAATTGATTGTTGTTATTGCCTTATTGGTTTTACGATTGTATGTCTCTCATTTAGATTGCTCTAAAAAATTTATGGCTACGATTCTTAATTGGAGAACATTATTCGGATTTTTTTCGAACTGAACTTGTATTTTTTGCAACTAACAAATAAATGAACTCCATTTTTTATTGAAAATAGAATGCCGGAATGGTGGCTTATTATGTTGCAACAAAGGGAAAACATCCTTTTGGACATGAACGGCTTAGACTGGACAACATTTTGAAAGGAAACCCAGTTGGCTTGGACGAAATCGAGGATGCCACGCTCAAAGACCTTTTATCGTGGATGCTACAGCTAAAACCAGAAGACAGGCCATTAGCCAACGAAGCATTGAAACATCCTTTTCTTATGTCGGATGACGTAAAGTTTGAAATGTTATGTAAAGTTGGGAACCAACGACCGATTAAAATAAATGATGTCAATTCAAGTGTCGTTCAACATTTGAATAGCGAACCCTCCGATTGGAAAAGTCGCATACATCATGATGCCTATGATTATTTTTGTACTGATAAGGTGAGTGGGAAGATTGTTAAATATGGGCCTTCATGGACAGATTGCTTAAGATTTATTCGAAATTGTTGCCTGCACTGGTATGATAAACCACGGCCAACACCACAACCTGAACCACTTGAAAAGATTGGCGATCCAAAGGAGTACTTTCTTGAAACATTTCCAAATCTTCCTGTTTTGGTGCATGCGGCTGTCAGATCAAATAATGAATGGAAAAACAAACCAGAACTCAAAACCTTTTTCATTTTTCATTGAAGTATCAAGAATCAATATATAAACATTTTACAGACCGCAAATTATGTTTGAGAAATATTTTTACAGATGTAAAATAAAAACACTCTTCATCATTAAGTAATGCATTATATAACATTAATTGTAATAAACTTTTTAGATTTTGGCATGGTTATAATTTTGGTAATTAGATTTAAGGATGAAGGACTATAACAATTAAAGTCGACATTGGTCTTCACTAATATCATTGACCAAGGACAAGACCACTACAAGAACTATTTTATAAGATTGGCAAGCCAAAGGAGTGTTTATTCTCAAGTCAAATGACGACTTGAAACAAAGCAAAACATGAACTTGATGATGATGTAATTGAGGAAATAACGAAGAAATAATACGTTGAGAATAACTGTTATTATATTTTGGTTATATTTGGTATCTCGATTGCTCATTAGTGCATTGTAATCGATAATTTATGGCAATTATTTATTGTTGATTGAACTGAGTAGTATAGTTATCATTGTGACAATGAATCTGAACGCATAATACTTTTCAATGTGTATTAAATACATCGAAATATTTGCATTATGTAAAAAGTTTATCCTCGTTCAAACGATGAAACAAAAGTTATTTGCAATCGACAAAAAATTGTCGAGACATATTAGCCCTAATATTATGAAACATACACATGTACGACCTTAAGTGATCCATTCATACGGAGTGAAACATGAAATGGATTCATGAATTTAGCAAATGATTTATATTATACAAAGGCAGGCTTGGTTGGCAATCATAACTTTTACATGTTTATAAATGTAGATCGTCCAGGTTGGTATAGTCCTGAGAAGGACTGTTTTTGTTGTTATTGACTGACGTTTCGACAACCTTAGAATGAAAAACACTAAGACATTTATTTTGCTTTTGACTCTTTTACGAGTTACAACTGTTATTTCTGAAGGATTTATATAACGTAGATTGACTATGAAAGTTATGTAATATGATACGTGTCAGCAGTCAAAGTAATTGAAAGTATAAGCAGGAAATACATTTTAAGTACTTACGATCACTTGCAAATGTGCGAAGCCTTCTAACTAGCACTACCCCTGTAAAAATATGAAAACCTGTTTATGTGTGAAACCTGAGCTATTTCATATCCATGTTCATGAATTGTCCCATGTGGTACCATATGTAGAAGTGTAATGGTGGGTCTCGGGGGACGGCTTGACAGAAATTTTAAAAGACTATTTACTTAAGAATAAATTAAAGACGTAAAGTTTATGTTCCTAGGCGTGCTGATAAACTCTGACATTTTTTGAAACAGCCAAGTGTCGTTCACTTAATTGTTTTTCTGAGAAAATGTTTGGAAAGAATACTGTTTTTACACATAAACAATGTGCACATTTCATATGCCAAATTTACAGTGGAAACACCTCCAGCGTTTCATAATAGGTTTGTCAATATCTTGTATTTATTTGGAGCAAAGCATTTTAAAACCACAAGTTTTAGAAGAACTTTGAAAATTTGCTTCTCAAAACAAGGTAAAGTAAATTTAATGTTGCTTACTCTAATCAAAACTCTGAGCCTGTTCTATTTTTGATTTCATATTGTCTACAGTCATTAAATGTCTGTGATTTTTTTCATTAAAAGCGTTTATAAAATGGTGAGAAAAACGAGGAAGAAAGAAAAGAACGTGCGTTCGTAATTTCAGGATTGAACATCGCGTGCTGAAGATAGAATTAAAAGAAACGTTAAAGAGAACGTTAGAGGGGTAAATTTTTGAAGAAAGACATCAATCAGATCAAAAAAGAATAATGAATCATATGAAGAAAATTTAGAGGTGATATCTGTTGAAATAAAGTTAATTTATTTTGTGTTTTTTTAATAATAGCGGCTGCATTGCTACGGTGTTTCCTTAACTTCAGATTTCAAGTTCTATGTGGATATAAAATATGAATTAAATCATTCGCAAATTCATTTATTCTACCTTCCCCCCGTCCCCACTTCTCCCCCAAGTCAAAATATGGAATGTTTTAAAGAATTTTTGATGCTGTGATCTTTTGAAATGCTCCATTGTCCAAAGATTATATTTATACGCGATGCAAAACAGGTCATTCGTATTATTTTGATAGTTGATTCTCATCAGACGAAGCAAAAACGTTTAAGAAGTGGAACATGCACTGAAATTATTGTAAGTTTTATTTGTATCGTATTCTCTTCATGATTTAACACTGGTACGCTTTGCAATAAAAATTTGCGAATTCTTTCAGTATATGTAATGACAATGTTAAAATTCCATTGCGTCAGATGTTTGATTTTATCACCATGAATTTGAATTTCTATCACCATAACTTTGTACTTTCGATGTGTTCAAATCCCAATACTATATTTTTAATCGTATTGGAATAGATTTCTACAAATCACGGAAAATTGGAAAGGATCAAGCGATTTTACTATTCCGACTAAAACAATTCCAAACGATTCATTAGGCTTCAATTTTCTTGCATTTTTACCCACAAGTAAAGTTATACAAATAAAATAGCCTTATAACAAGGCTATTTTTGAGTTCATATCATCTGAGCAACTTTGTTAGCTTATAAATTAAAAATTTATCTTGCTTATTAGTCATGACAAAGTTGTTTGAACTACGTAGGCGGAAATGGACACGCAAGCAAATTTCTTATTTCTTGCATGGGAAGACCGGTTTCGTGAAAATTTATAAAAAAAATTACAAAAAAGAACAGTTCCTTTTTTAATTATTTGATCAAGCGACTAACTACTGTTAGAGAGTTCTGTAAATGAAAAATTACCTGGATTTTCCAGCATTTAAATCAACATACTGTTCAAGTTTGTCGTTTGCATGTTAATAGCCATTTGAATAGGGGAGCTCTATGTTTAAGAGAGCATTGATAGTCTTGGTGAATGTTAAGTCAATCACAACTTCAACAAATGTTCAAGACTGTCGGCGAATATTATCTTTTTAAAAGTGAAGGTAGCCACAGTCGCTCGGCCAAAGTTACCGGTTCATTAGACACATGCATGCAATGGCAACCTAAAACAGGAAGTCAAATAATGCCGAATATTTTAAAATGACTTGTTCTCTCACAATTGTATTTCTATGCAATATGATTGCAATATGAGTTATATATGGTCGTATTACTTATCTTGTCTTTTATAGCTTAGACATGAATTGCAACGCAGTTTTCGCCAACATTACATTAGCTCTATTTCATCATGTATTATATGATAGCGGCACTTGTCGGTCTTTACTTTGACATGTTTAAGACATATTGGAAAGTGCCTTTAATTTCTGACTACTTATATGAGTTATGATCTTGAATACTAACTATAAACAGTGCCGTCCAAAATTCTTGTATGTGCAATCTTTATAGAATGTACTTAAAGTTCCTACATCAGGGTCATGGAAATAACTTCTTTACATAGTTAAATAGAATTTAAGAACATTTGCTATGTAATCGGCCTAGATGAAGGCAGGCCCGAAATTTGGGTACAAACTTTGGAGGGTGCGGGACCATTTTGCTCGACATAAATAGCGTAGCTATAGACCTACCCGATGAATCTTGAAAGCTTGTAAAGGTTATTTATGGGACAGATATATACAAGAAATGCAATTTTCAATACTACGCAATTTTCACTTGCATAATAACTCACCTTATAAAATAAAGTTTTACGGCGCTAAATAAAAATCATGGCTATACTTCACATTTTTAGCAATAATGAGTCGTGACATTATGCATATTTTTATAGCTTCTTAAAATCACTATAAATGCTAATTCAACTCAATCTTGAGATCCATTAATCTAACGATTCCGGACTAATCGCTATAAAGCATTTATGTACGCTGTAATGAACGCAAATTATAAAATTGAATCAACTAAGTGCAGTAGCTAAATGCTTTCTGAATACTTTGTAACATACTTATAACTATTTTACAGCACCTCTGGGAAACAGTGTGTTTAGTGGCCTAAGAGGGCAACAAGGGGCCATGATTTTAAACTAGTTACTGTTTCTTTAGTTGCTTTTTCGTTAAACAAAAATTTTTATGTTCCATCACTGATGCAAAATCCAGGTTAGTTTTGCTAGCAAACCTTTCCACTTTTTTTTGTACAATCAATTAGAAATACTGTAAAACTATATTTGCCAAAACGTTTGCACTCTTTTAAGTGTATTTAAAGAAGGCGTCTTTACGTGGAGCAGCACGAGAATATTGTTTGTTAATTGCATATGGGAAACGTACTATTCTTAATTTCTCAAATATTTGTGAGTGAAACAGTATTTTTTCGCAGCTGAGGTTGTTATGGAATTTCCTACATTACGTTTCTACTTTTTATTGTCCATTAATTCCAATTAGGATAATATTCAACAAAGTATACACAAGTTCATCATTCATTACAAGTAAATACAACAAACTATAATTTAATGGAAACTACAGCATAATTCACACGACATAAATTAATCTGGATTCAACCCAGGTTCAAATGAACCCATGTTTGTCATTTTTGGTGTGTGAACACTACTGATTCAGGTTTGATCTGGGTTTAATTCATTCGACTTCTTGACATGGGTTGAGCTAAACCAAGGTTTAATTTGGTTTGTTTATGTCGTGTGAATTGGACTTAGCATAAAATAAATATAAACTGCTTCCCTAAGTAAAAGTAAACGGAATTTCCACATATCATTTTGAGACGTCATGCAACTGTCAAATATTTTGTAGTGCATGTTATCTCAAAATTGTTAATGGTTGTAATCAGATTTGATACGTACAAGTACAAAACCCTACCCGATGTATTTTTTAAAATTATGGAACACAGGAACAACATGTTACTATCTCCTTTTCAAAAATTTGCAAGAGAAATTCATGTAACTTGCCCGACTAGAAGAAAAATTGGAAATATTTTGGGAGATAATAATTCTTTCCCCCCTCCCCCCCTCAATACCCTCCAGAAGTTTCGGCCCAAGAAGTAGATGACTTCGTATTGCATGCGACGTTAAATGGAGAACTCGTAAATTAAAGATATAGCTTTCATTATTGGTGGGTTGCGACCATCCCCCGTGGGAGTAAGAAAACAATAGATTGCTCGCCATGCTGGATGAAATTTGCATTGTAAATTAGGAAAATTCTTTGTTAAAATCATCCAACATGGCGGTTATGACGTAACTTGCAACCCAAGAATAGTGAATAATGATGTTGTAGCAACTGCTCTTAAAAAATCACCCTAAAAAAGATGCCACATATGTGTGTACTTTGACCACATCATTTGAGCGAATAATCAAAGACAACGTTTAGAAAGTGTAGAACTGCGTTTTCTCTTTTACGTCACTTCTGGTGCGAAGTCACGAATTTTTGCCATAAAATTTTTGTCGTATCAAATATAATGCAAATGTCTTTAACTCAATTTAACTACCAAAAGAAGTTATTTCCCTGATCCTAATATATCCATTTAGTCACATTGCCTTCAGGGAACGTAGATAAATGTAGTGATATATATTTTTACGAATGTATCAACTTATTTGCATCATTAAAGACAAAGTAGTGTTATATAATCTTTCAAATTTCATTTTATGAATAAAATAAAAACGTGGTCAATGATGACTGTTTGATGATGCTGTAAAGCGTTGCATTTAACTTTATTTAAATTAAAGATAAGTTTGTGCGTTTTATCATTGAAAAAAATTTACATTACTGGTATTTTTGTAAAGCGTTAACTAAAATAGCTATGATAGTGTAAGATTTTTGATGAATGTGCTTTATTTTTATTCAAGTCATGTCATGAATGGCTGCCATTTTAGATTATTTAAACAAAAGATTTTCTTCATTCGCGTGCTGGGCAAAATGCGTTTTCTTGCCCGACGAAAACGAAAACTGCCCGACGTGAATTTTATTGATGTAAAAAACACTCTATGCCTGGATTGCTGTCTAAAACTTCATGTTTGTGTATTCATTGCTTAAATACGTACTTTAACTTTTACTGACATCGTACCATGCATACTTAGCTATTTGTGGATAAAATATTTTGTCCATTTATCATAAGCTTAAAGGTCACCGATTGCTACTCATTTCTAACTGGTTGGAGATCTTGCACAAAGCATGTAAGAACGAAAAAAAGGTATAATTTATTGCAAATAATGCATGGAAGTCCGTGGATGGTTAAAAGCTTACTAGAAGATTTGTCAAATAATTTATTGTGTGACCATTAATTCATTAGTCAAACATCATACAAATGAGATCAGTGCGAATTCGTTAACTGATTATTAAAGACTTACCACATGATAACACGTGGGAAATATAAGTATGGCGTACAATTTGTAAATTTCTCCATGCTTTCAATTTTGATGTTTTTGCATTTCTGTGCAACATAAGGCATTTCACCCTTTTAAATGTTCATTATCACCTTGGCCTCAAACTTTAAAGAGACCTTTACAAAGTTTGCATGACAGTTTCCTGAAAAAGGGATTAGAGATGGAATGTAGTTCTTTTACCAAAAAATAGAATTAGCACATGACACAGAAAATTTATGACGCAGAAGAAAATTGATGCTTTAAAGTTCAAACACTTAATAAATTAAAGACAATATTATTTCGATAAAAGATTGTTTTCCCTTTTACGTTTTTCCTAATGACATTGTCATTCCGTTAAAATTTAACGATATAAAAATAGTTCATATAAAGCGGAAAAACATAAGCACTTTTTTTAATACACCTGTTTTGAATAATTGTCTTGGCAGTTTTCTGTTGTCATACGACGTTAAACTGGAAACTTATTTTACTAATATATATTTAATTAAATTTAAATGTGAAAGCAAGAAAGACGTAATGAAGGATGGCAAATATTGCCAGGTAAATTTTAAAGCCTTGATGTTACTGCATCCTAAACATGGTTTAAATAAAAATAATTTTTTTACACATTTAAGCTACGCGCAAATGTTTTTATCCGACGGCATTGTTCAAATAAAAGAAGCAAAGGAAAAGGTCAAAGAGAATTTGCCCAGAAATAAAATTTCTTCCTATTTGCTTGTTAAAATTAATTTTGTTAATTAAAGTGATTAATTTGCTTATTGTTTTCTCCACAAAAGACCAAATATTGCCCGACTTTTGGGTAAAAATTGCCCGACGTTACCCCTTTTGCTCAAAATTGGGGTGTTGCAGCACCCCTAGCATCCCGCCACGCACGCCTACTATTTTCTTTATTTACAAACGTTTTTACAAAGCAAGTGTCATTCAACGTGGCGAAAACTCCATTATTCTTTCACTCCCTCCATGGGGAATGGTTGCACATCATTTTAATATTTTAGAATTTTTAGATCATGTTTATGGTATCGTGTCTCACAATGAGATTTTGCACTCTTTTAATTTTTTGCTTTTTGAACAATTGTCGTACCGTCTTAATACATAAATCTTATGATTACAGATTTTTTTAGTTTTGATCATTTTTGCATGCCATTCACATGGATCAAGGCAGATGCTCTCCAAAAGGTAACGTTTAAGACTCTCGTTACTCTACTCAAATCTACGAACTCTCCACAGAGGCTGTATTATAGAGTTTTTCATCTCAGTGCCTCCACTATTATGTTAATAGAAAACATGGTAAGATAAACATCATTCAGACGTCAACATTTTGGGGTTTTTCAGGAAGTGACATTAAAGATTCCTCCTTTTTGGAAAGTGATGCCAATGGTCCAAGTTTTCCCTTATCAGAATGTGATGCCGAAGAGTCAGAAGGTAACGTTTCTCAAAGCTCCACAATTATCTGTAAAAGTAACGGAGAAAACACATTCCAAAAAACATCATCTTGTAAACTCAAGATTTGAGTTATGTTAGCAAGAAACAAGATTTAAAGCAATATTTCAACTTTTATTTCAACATTATCACTTGGCTTGATCATGTTTCTGAAATAAAGTCGAAATATTGTTTTAAATCTTTTCTTTTGCTTTTATAACCTGAATCTTGAGTTTGCAAGATGAGGTTTTTTGGAGTGTGTATTCTCAGTTACATTTTGAAATTGTTGAAAACATGCTAGTTCAATATCGTATTGTACATGATCAACATTTATCATAGTGAAATCAAAATGATTGTTTAAATATGCGTTCATATCGCAGAAAAGGTTGTTAAATCAGTTAACTTGTCATGTATGAAAGTAAATATAAAATTTGTTTTCATTGGTTTTAGTGCAAATTTGCAGTTAACATTCTATGGCTTTTTCTTATATTTTCAAACTCTTCTAGAATTCCATTCTATTCTGTTCCTTTTTTCACATTCTTTTGAAATGTGTTGTTTTATTCCATCTAAGGGGTCTATAATCAATAAATGTAAACGTTACTTATTTTAATTTACTTTATGTTATTTATATATTTGTAGTGATACAGCTCGTTTTTTATTTTCATAACCCATTATAGCCTAAAGGCAGCCAAAAGCTCATTACTATTAGAAATTATATGCACGTTTCACTACATTCCATCAACATTGTTTTTATTGTTTTTTTACCTTGCAGATAATCTGGAGGAAAGGCGAGCTCGTAAAGGTTAGTACAGTCGTGTACTTTTAGTCGTACCATTGATAAATTTTTATGACTGTTTATGCCAGTTTGTATGCTTGGATTTGAGCTTAGTTAATTTTAGAAAGCTTTTTGTCTTAATATGGTCACAATTTTTTAACAACAAGATAGTAAATTTAACGATTTTGTGCATTATATAAAGTTTTTTTTTAATTGCAGGATCCTGCTTTGGATTTCTAGGTTAGTATGATTTTGACATACTAATGGAAAATGCTTATAATATGCATAACTAAGTGCAACAAATAGTTTTAAAATAGGAAAGATACATTTGCTTCCCTCTGCAAGACCATTTAGTTATTATAGAATGTTCATTAATTATCCGAAAACTTCAGAATAAAAAATTCTTACCATTGATAAATTTTTATGACTATTTATGCCAGTTTGTATGCATTGTATTTGAGCTTAGTAGATTATAGAAAGCGTTTCGTCTTAATATGGTCACAATGTTTAACAACAAGCAGTGGCCCAACTAGAACGTTATTTGGGGTTGCATATTCATATACTCCGTTGTGCCCTACTGATTTCTTTTGAAAGTGATTTGAATTTCAAAAGAAATCAGTAGGGCACAACTGAATATATGAATATACACACCCCCAATTAACGTTCTAGTTACGCCTCTGACAACAAGATAGTAAATTTAACGATTTTGTGCATTATATAAAGTTTCTTTTTAATTCCAGGATCCTGCTTTCGATTTGTAGGTTAGTATGATCTTGAAATACTAATGACAAATGCTTATAATATGCATAACTAAGTGCAACAAATAGTTTTAAAATAGGAAAGATACATTTGCTTTCCTCTGAAAAGAAAAGATTTGAGAAAAGTTACTTTTATAGGTTTTATTTCTTTGAACTATATATGTTATGTGTAGATATGAAATTAACGCATTTTTTTCTATTCTACCAGTGGCGCCGGAACCACGGGGGCAGCGGGTGCAGCGCTGTGCCCTTTGCCACCATATAGCAATTTCAAACACTCACTTCTTGCATCTGATTTTTTTCCGGGTAATACGCTTTGATCTCGGAAGGGAAGGTGTTAAGATAAGCGGAAAAAACAATTCCACGTTCTATGGGATTTTCATTGAAAACTTTCAAAACGTAGATATTGTAGGAAAAACAAACATGTAGAGTGGAAGCACTGTTTCAAAACAAAGAATAAAGATAGTGATGTTGTCATGTTTATGAAAATGATTTTGTGGTAATCAAGATAGCGTTTGAATTATAGATGAGAGGTGTAATACGTAAGTTGAATAAATGTAATTATATAATCAAGTCTAAAAAGTCTAAAATACTGCTTGTAAATTTGTAATAGTACACAATAAGAACAATTAAAAAATTGTTTAATATTCATTCGTCTTGTTAGCACGGGATAAAATCGTGCTCAACTAATCAACTCAACAATGCACAATACTAAATAGTGACAAAACAGTTAAGTAAATGTTTATAAATGGAATGCACGAGAAAGTATAGTGTGTATTTTCCATTTTCGTAGTATTGAGAATTTGAAATGCCAAAAGCGAGTCGCCTACAAAGTCTTGCTAAAAAGCAGCTCTTGGAAGCTTCAAAAGTACGTGGTCAAACCAAACTTTCTTTTGTTACGCAATCTGAGACATCTGCTGCTGTCGATGATAATCCTGACTGTACCATAAGCACAACCGACTACAGAAGTACTGATGCTAGAGAAAAGGAAACCTCTTCATTCACTCAGCAGTCAAGTCAAGAAGTTGACCCTTGGATTAAAGCGACGAATTCTGGCCTGTATTTTACACCAAACGTGAAGCGTATGAGCGAAAATAAAGGTAGATATTTTCAAAAGGAGTGGTTTGATGATCATAAGTGGTTATGATATCACAGAGGAAAAAAGGCAGCATTTTGTGGAGTATGTACTTTGTTCAAGCAACCTTACGATGCCTCGCCATTCATCTACTATGACTGAGCAGCTGGTTTTCAAAACTGGAAAAAAGGCAAAGAAAGACTAGAAGACCACGAGCGTAGCGAGAATCATTGACATGCTTCAAAAGAATCGACAAAGAAGCGACCTGATGTGGCAAGCCAGATAGATGATCTACGTCAAAAGCAGCAATACCTTAGACGGACTGGTTTGATAGCTCATTTGAATACTGTGAAAACCCTTTTGAGGCAAGGACTTCCAATTCGGGGTCATAATGATGAAGAATCGAACGTTTTTCAGTTTAATAAGGATAAAGCTCGCAATAATAGTGGTTTGCATCTGATAATGAGTGAAAATCTATATTTTTCGCACGAGATCCTCAATGAGCAAGAATGTCTAATCGTACTAGAAGCCAGACGAAGATTGGTCAAAAAAATTAATTTAAGCATTTTCTATTTTGTTATAAGTGACGAAGCAAGTGATATTTCGAAAGTGGAGCAGTTGTCATTTCCATCCGTCATTGTAATGATAGTTACGAGACTTTCGAAGACTTCGTCGGTATATTTTCATGTGACGAAGGCCTAACATCAGATGCTTTGCTAAAGTATATAGAAGACATACTGCTACGATGCAGTATGGATGCAGATAAACTTGTTGCCACGGCTTTTGATGAAGCATCATCCATGGTACGACTCGCTGAACTTCTGAAAGAACATTTTGGCGAAAATATTATTCATATCCATTGTTTGGCACACTGCAACGAGCTTGTGTTTAAAGATGCCACAGCTTTGTCTCCGTTAATTGCTGATGCACAAGATCTTTGTTAAGAATTGTATGTTCTAGTTTGCATGAGTCCTAAACGCGTCCTCCTTTTTGAGAACATACAGAAAGAAATCGCCCAAGATTCGGAAATTTCTCCAATTATTCTGAGCTTAAAACCTATCTCGAACAAGATGGACAACAAGAGCATCCGCAGCTGCAGTGCTGTTAAAAAAAACCCCGGACCTACAGGCAACTTTGAAGCATCTTTCAAAAGACCCAAGCGTAAAGCCCGAGCGTCGTTCAAGATCAAATGGATTGCGTGAGAAAACCAAATCAATACGACAGATGTTTCAACTGGTAGCTATGCATGAACTTGCAAATTTACTGGAAAATATTTCGAAGCAATTACAATGTGCATCACTCACCGCAGAACAGTCAGTTTACAGCATTAAGAAGCTTGAAGTGCGTCTTAAAGAGCTGCGGTCAGAAGAAGAGTTTCAACGTCTTTACGATCATGCAAAAAAGATTGTCGGCGACTTACAAGATGAAGATGAAACGCTAGTTACGCAAGAATCGAAGAGAAGAAGGTCAACTCCTCGACACCTGTCTGATTATCTCACTCATTCCAATGCGCCTTCATCAGCAAGAGCAATGGACACTAGAACAGAACTTTTGCGTCTTTATTATGAAGCTGTTGATTCTGTCGTAGATGCAGAGCAGAGACGTTTTCACCAAGAGAATTTGAAAATTCTTGAAGTGATAGAGTCATGTCTTCTTGCAGCAGTGAATAAAACAATTCCCCTAGATGAAATTCGTCCAAAATTAGGACATTTACCTTCAGTTATCGATAAGGACTCATTGGTGGTTCAACTAGGTGAACTACCAGTTGTACTAAAGCTTTTCAATGCAGAACAGTCTTTACCCATCAAGGAAGTCACGAGCCTCTCGATACTTTGCAGAATATTTAACGAAAGAAATAGCACCAAGAAATGTCTGTCTGAAGTGCATTAACTATTGAAATTTTACATGTCCGTTCCAATTAGTTCAGCTACAGCAGAGAGAAGTTTTAGCGTGATGCGTCACATCAAATCATGGCTCAGATCCAACATGTCAGAGAACAGCCTATACAACAGAATGTTTGCTGCTATAGCAAACATTCGTGGACATAGCGTTTGTAACGGCAAATGAGCGTCGCCGTAGTTACTTTGGAAGATATTAATAATATATATCTATACTATACCAAATCTGTTAACGTTAAAATAGATAATTCAGTTGAGTTGTGCTCGTATACGCAACTGACGTATTTTTTTATATATTTTTTGCCTATAACGTAATATGTAATACATAATATGCATGATGCACGCTCTTCGCATTAAAAGTTACAGATTATGCTATTGAAAATACGTTATACTTTGTATTGAAAGACTGTGTGTATTCATATGTTTAAGCGTCTCAAAATGAAAGTGCCCTTTTTTAAAATTCTGCCCCCGTAGCCCTAAATTGCTTCCGGCGCCTCTGTATTCTACATGCAGGATGCTGTTTTCCAGGTCAGTGTGGTCATGCAACATGCCAACATTATTCATGTTCACGCGTCTTTGAATTAGTCAACTTGTCATTTGCAAATATGAAAATAATTGGTTTTTTCTTCATTGCAGGAATGTGTTGTCAATATTTTGCAAGTTAGTATGGTCATGTAGTACATTAATACTATCAATGTAGTTCTTGTTTATATTTATGAACATTTTATTCTTCAATTCATGCTTCAAATTGAAGAGCCCGCTAAACTGCTTTTATAAGATAGTTTTTTTCGTCTCAAAATAACTCAACTTTTTTGATACATGTATGTGAATGTAGATCGTCCAGGTTGGTATAGTCCTGAGAAGGACTATTTTTGTTGTTGTTGACTGACGTTTCGACAACCTTAGCGGTAGTCATCTTCAGAGTCAAATGAGGAGTAAATGTCAGGTTAGCCGTATTTGTTATCTGGTTCTTACTTCATTGTATTGTGTGTACAATATAAATAGTCTCTTGTGTGTTCAACGAGGACTTAATACTAAGTCCTGCCGGAACGAGACCAAAATCCTTGCAGCGGTGGTTGAACCAGATTTGTTGGCGTATGCGTCTGACGTTTCTTACAAAACGTATGTAATCGTTAGCAAGTTGTTCGCTTTGTCGTCCAAATGATCGTAATAAAGTAAATGGTTTGAACCCGGGAGTATCGTTACACGTTTGTAAATGTAAATTACCCAGGTTGGTATAGTCGTGAGAAGGACTGTTTTCGTTGTTGTTGACTGACGTTTCGACAACCTTAGCGGTAGTCATCTTCAGAGTCAAATGAGGAGTAAACGTCAGGTTAGCCGTATTTGTTATCTGGTTCTTACTTCATTGTATTGTGTGTACAGGAAATATGTATTGTGTGTACAATCTGAATAGCTTCTTTTTTGAGCTAAAGTAATTGGTTTGAACTTTTGAACATCGTTATATTAAGATGTAAATTGCAGATGTAAATTGTTCAGGTTAGTGCAAATCTGAGAAAGACTGTTGGTGTTAAATTTTGAATGACGTTTTGACAACCTTATATAGCTGTTATCTTCATAGAGAAGTGAGGAAGAAATTTCAGGCAAGCAGTTTAGTTGTCTGGATCTGTAATTGTATTGTGAGTTTTTGTCGTGGAATATCTGAAAACATGTAGAAAATAAGATTTCCTGAAATTCATGACAGAAGATTCAAAATGTAGACAGTGTAAGCTAGAGCTGCATCAAAAGAGAAATTTTGGCAAGACAAACTATAAATGGGTTGTGCTAACCTTTCACTGAGGGGCGCTCAACCCACAAAATATTCTATACTTCTATTGGGCAAAATGATGCGATGCAGAAATCCATGAACGCTTTCATTTCACGTATCATTTTTTATTATTATCAGATTTATTAGCATTTACACGAACATTTTCTTTTCACTTGATTCTCAATATCACTGCGGCAGAGTCAAGAATGCGGGTGTGATACCAGGTACCAAGTAGCAAGTACTGGGTAACATATAGCGGGGTAATGCCAGAGAAGACTGGTACTATTTAGCAGTATAATATAATACCGGATAAACGCTGTATCAAAAAGGCGTATTGAACTTGTTGTGGTAAAAAAAACGGCGATTCAATGAAGAAACTTAACAAATTTAATTGTAAGTCTTAAAAGTTATATTGTCCGAAGCTTTTACCGTTTTTAACAAAAAAAATTCTTTTGTTTATGTTGTTTTGTATAACATTGGAAGCATTGCGAATTGAAATTTGTGTTTGCATGCATAAAAAGCTGAATATACTGACTGAATATTCTGATATTTTGTCTTCGATACGTTGCTTCCTTCATTTGTGCACACGTAATTTTCCCCTTTGACGGTAAACACAACAAAATACTTTCTTAGCTTCTTTTCAAAATCAAAGCAAAATTTCGCACAATCTGCGCGAAGTGCTGGTTCACTGTTCTAAAACTTCACACTAACGATGGGACTGTATTTTGAATATATAATTTTGACACTTCAATAAGATATTTACAGTGTTGTGCACGATTTTCCGTTCCAAGCGTTGGTTCTTCGCGATACGGAATGATTAAATTGATCTCGTTAAGATTACGGACAACCGTCAATCCTACAAATGCGTTTTCGAAATTTATTGCCTTCTGCAATACAACTCTAATTCATCAATTTTGTATGACCAGTTCATACACCAACAACTACAACTTTTCCGAACTCCCGAACCAACGCTTGCAAGCTCTTATTTATATTATAATTATTAGGATGTAATTTTTGGGCGTTTGCATGACTTGCACTACGCCATTCCGTTTATAGAGTACCGTCATTACCTATATCCTACCGCAATGCCACATTGGGTAGAAAAAGTGTTCCTAAGTACTTTGAATTTACGTACAGGATTTCCACTGAAACCACAGTTTAATAACTATATACGTATTTGTCTAGTAATGTATGACTTAACATTTTACATAAACATAATATCCGTTATATCTTAGTATCAAAAATATGACACAGTCACACTCTACATAACATAACATGACAATTTACAACACAAAATGCAGGAGGAATGTACTACTTGAAAGCAAGAACATTTGGAATACCAAAAACACTAAAAAAAATGTTAGGGTTTTCCAAGAAAGAAAAGTAAAAAGCAAGCAATGCAACAACTGCTACTTCTTTTTTTTCTTACCGCAAAAGTGGTAATTCCACGGAATTCTCAAAGCGAACCTGCAAATATTTATTTTCCTTGCACAATTAATCACAATGTGTGACAAAGACACAATGCTACTTCTATGGGCGGCTGTATTCAATTCTTCTTAAATTAGGCACATCTTAGATAGCAATTGGGCATGCAATATTTTGTGATTAGCTCGGTTACAACAACAGGTTTATTTGTCCCTAAAAAGAAGTAAAAAGAGTCATTCACACATGACACTGATTGAAAATATACTGGTCTTCATTTTCACCTTTTAAATATCACTGAGTTTTCAAAGTAGATGTATACGACTGATATACAAATTGACAACTGATGTATGAATTGACGTTGTTTTGGGATGGATTTGTGTGGTTGTTAATTCCCGTTTGCTGTTATTATCAACTGTCTTCGAGCAAAGTCAATTCATTTAAGAGGCTTTTCGTCTCTATTTAGTCACAATTTTAAAATATAAGATATTGAATTTGAAGTGTAATTCTTAAATGTGATAATAATGTGATTTTTTTATACATTGCAGATAGTAACGATGATGATGAAAGTTAGTTTATCATGTAGTATAATACTTACAAATGTTTATAAATAACGCATTAATGACAATAGTTTTTATCGCCGTCAAGTTATTTATGTACCGACAGATCTATTTAAGCATTTGTCTTCTCCAGGTGTCTCAATTCTCAGGTTTTCTTTTGAAGATGGCATATTTGTTCTCTTTCAAGTTACTTAGCATTCCAATTCTTTTTCTTTCCTTCGGTTTGTTGCTATAAACTCTTTCCTCGGCCACTTATTTCAACACGTTATTACTGCGAAAGATGTGTCAATTCTACCTCTTTTTAATTCTATGGTATTTCTACCCAACATCTCTCTTTTTTCATCTACACCATGAACATCACTTTTATTGTTTTCCTTTCTATTCAGCCTTCTCTCCATTCTTCCCGAGATTCACATCACAAGTGCCTCTATTTTTCTCATATACTTCTTTCGCTTTTCATGACTATGATCCAAAAAAATACTACAAACACTAAACAACTGTTTTGATGATTCAATTTTTCTATTTTCTACGTATACCTTTTGTGAGTACTTTCCTTTTGTTGAAAGCTGATTTTGCCATATCTCTTTTCATTTTTATCTCTTGTAATTATCTGTTATCAAGGAACCCAAATAACAAATATGTTTTACAGGCGTAATTCTTCATTCAAAACTATATCAAGATTGCCATCAAATTGTTTGGAAACTGCAGTAACTTTTGTCGTCTTTATATTTATGCTCATACCATATTCTTCTGATACGTCACCCAGTCTATCTAAGATATTCTGCATAATTTTTTTCGTCATAAATGCGTGTTATTATCCGTAAGAAACAATTAATTTCAAACGAACTTGATCTTGCAAAACATGTATAATGAATATTATTATGTCATCATCGAGTTAGCTGCGCCCCTTAAGAAAGCTGTGTATTGTATTATATTATCATTTGGTAATGTTTTTTTTTTGCATTGTTCTAGCTTCAAAAATAACAGAAACTTCTGTAGGTCATATGAATGATAATCGCGGTTTTGAAGACAGCGATGCAATGCCTTCATCAGGTAACAAAATTGTTATTTTTCAGAAAAATCATTCTTCATTGTCGTTCTGTTTCCTGCTTGTCTCTCAGCTCATATTTACACTGTAAATTTTACAGTAAAGTGTATAAGAGTGATCATTGAAGAAAAACAGTTACGCAATGCGTACATTTAACAGCCTTTCTTCAACACAATTCAAATGATTCATATTTGACGAACATACAATGTATGAGACATTTATATAAGATTTTTAAAAGCCTCTTTAGGAAGTGAAAGATTATAATTTTACAACTATAATAATAATTGTGTAAATATATGTCTAACAAAACTTACGCAAGGTATTGAAAATCTCACACAGTGGGCTGGCCAAAAACACAAAATAGTGAATTCTCAAAAAGCACCACAAATTTATACAATGAATTCTTCATTGCTAGGTCATTTATACTCTAGCAAAAGATGGTTTCGGTAGTGTGACACCCTGTATAATTGTACTGCACAGAAATAAATATCACGTATCATATAGCGTCGTCCAAGCTATTATTTACTTCATGGGATACAACAATATCATGACTTTTGCATGGCTTTACAGAAGTTTATCATAATTTAGCCATTCATATTCACGCACTTTTCTCGTCATACTAAACATTGGAGCGTAAGTTTAAAATGTCATTATTCTAAGGCATAGCCTGAGTTCGTGTAACCCATACAGTCTCTTTTTGCGTTCCTAAATATATGACCAAAACATGGATGTCTTTTAAGGTACAATTCTTAAAGTTTTCAGCGACTAAAAATCAAAGACCTCTCTTTAAGCTATAGAATAAGTTTTAAAAAAACCACTGATGACTGTTAGAAAAAAGTTAGCCACATCATGAGCATGACAAGCCAGTCTGTGATTATGTTTTATAGTTAGATTGAATTACTTAGGTACTTATTAAAATGCATTTTCAAGCAGTTACTTTGCTGTGTTTCAATGTAATTATACTGGTTTTTTTTATATTTAGTTTGTTGTGCAATAGAAGAGAGTGCATTTTATTTCATTGTGAATCCACAGCTCTATCCGCAGCTATTGGTGCTAACTATTTTATGACTCCTGTCAACTTTGAAATCTAATTTATGTTTTAGTTTCCCATAATGATGAACTTGAAAAAGTAGATCAATCTTCATCTTCTCGTACAATGAGTAATACGACTTGTTGATATTTATTAATGGAACTTGGAACTCTTTTCTTTGCACTAATGTTCTTGTCTTAGTCTCTTCAGAGCAACATACAAAGCGAGGGGGTGTTTTGCCCAATATCACGTCTTTAGAAAGTGATGACGAAAGTAAAATGAGAGGTAATGAAGTGAGAAAATATTGTGGAATAGCTCACCAAATATTACCTTAGTCTTGCTGCATGTGATGTTTTGTAATTATGTTATCATATAATTGCATTGTTCCAGCATTTGAAGATGTTAACGTTGCCAAAAGTGCTGTGCCTTCTAAATCGGAAGCTGGTAAGTAACAGTCTTTTCTTTACTTCCTAGCCTCATATTATCAACGTAAATTATACATGTAATTCTACATTCTACATACACAATTACTAGTTTCTTTACTGAATTTCTAAAATACAACATTACTACTAAATTTTTCACATTTTAAGAGGTGACCTAAAACTTTTGCATAGTACTGTACTGCATATTTACATAAGATCGTTACACCTGAATAATTGAATAAGATCGTTAAAAGGATGAGAAGGTGAAGTGGGCAGCAAAAAATTAAAATGCATGCCAAAAAATGTTCTTTATGAAAATGCTCTTTGTGACTTAGATAATGGTGTGAGTCGTTAAAAAAATCACAAGCGTTGTTTTCAAAATGTCAGCGTTGTGACAGATTGCTATTTTTATCCGAAACCTTCAGAATAAAAAATTCTTATCATTGAATGAATTATTTTATTGTGTTGTATGAATGTTTTTGTGCAGTGCGGTGTTTGAAATTAAATGAGATATGATCTTCGCACTTAGCTGGACAATTTAAGCAATCGTCTCAGGACCTGAAAAAATCAGGTGACTCAACGGGATTCGAACCCATGACCTCTGCGGTGCCGGTGCAGTGCTCTGACCACTGAGCTATGAAGTCACACAGTGGTGAGCAGGTCAATATTGTTGGGCTCATGTTTTCTCGTGAAATGAATATGAATGAGTGCAGTGCGGTGTTTGAAATTAAATGAGATATGATCTTACTTAGCTGGACAATTTAAGCAATCGTCTCAGGACCTGAAAAATCAGGTGACTCAAGGATTCGAACCCATGACCTCTGCTAGTGCACTGAGCTATGAAGTCACACAGTGGTGAGCAGGTCATATGTTGGGCTCATGTTTTCTCAAAAATGTTGCATGGTGTTTGAAATTAGATATGATTTCGCATTTAGCTGGACAATTAAGCAATGTCTCAGGACCCAGGTGACTCAACGGGATTCGAACTCATGAGCCCAACAATATTGACCTGCTCACCACTGTGTGACTTCATAGCTCAGTGGTCAGAGCACTGCACCGGCACCGCAGAGGTCATGGGTTCGATTCTCGTTGAGTCACCTGATTTTTTCAGGTCCTGAGACGATTGCTTAAATTGTCCAGCTAAGTGCGAAGATCATATCTCATTTAATTTCAAACACCGCACTGCACAAAAACATTCATATGACATTCATTTCACGAGAAAACATGAGCCCAACAATATTGACCTGCTCACCACTGTGTGACTTCATAGCTCAGTGGTCAGAGCACTACACCGGCACCGCAGAGGTCATGGGTTCGAATCCTGCTGAGTCACCTGATTTTTCAGGTCCTGAGACGATTGCTTAAATTGTCCAGCTAAGTGCGAAGATCATATCTCATTTAATTTCAAACACCGCACTGCACAAAAACATTCATATGACATTCATTTCACGAGAAAACATGAGCCCAACAATATTGACCTGCTCACCACTGTGTGACTTCATAGCTCAGTGGTCAGAGCACTGCAACGGCACCGCAGAGGTCATGGGTTCGAATCCCGTTGAGTCACCTGATTTTTTCAGGTCCTGAGACGATTGCTTAAATTGTCCAGCTAAGTGCCAAGATCATATCTCATTTAATTATTGTGTTGTGTTCAGCAAATATCAATTATTCATTACATTGACGGCAAATTGATTATTTAATTTACACTCCTGAAACTGAAAACGATTGATGCGTTGGTGTTATATTTTGTATTTCCCTACCACTTTGTTTACTTAAGCAAAATTAAAATAATCTGTGTTTGCTCTTCCACAAGTCTCCGACTTTTTATCTAATGAAAAGAAATGCGAAATTGATCAGTTAACTGCCACGTGTAAATTTAACATAACGTCGTTTTTAAGATATATTTTTTAATACTGCAATAAAAAAGAATCGACATCGTAAAGGTCGGTACAGTCATGCAAAAACTAGTAGTAATAATGTTTATATGAATGTTTTTTATGCAGTGCGGTGTTTGAAATTAAATGAGATATGATCTTCGAGTCACCCGATCCCGTTGAGTCACCTGATTTTTTCAGGTCCTGAGACGATTGCTTAAATTGTCCAGCTAAGTGCGAAGATCATATCTCATTTAATGTTTATATGGTTGTTTATGTCTGCTTATGTTCAATGTATTTGAAAAGTGTTACTTTCAAACTCCGGTTTTTTTCTCTCGGCTTGTTTACCCATGCAAAATTCAAACAGTGGCTGTAGATTCTCCATGCGTGAAACGTAGTCGTATCATGAACATTAATGCCCAACTTATTGCAAAAATATAAATTGCCATTGTAGTCAGAAATATGAAAAGAGAGAATTTTATTGACGTTTCGTCACAGCGCTCGACAACTTTAGAATGGTAGTATAAGTGTGGTATAAGATTACAAAAAGGATATAAGTATTTACAATGTATGAATAAATTAAGTAGTAAAAGAGGGATTAACCAATCACAGGAAGAATCTTGTATTCTTATATCATGATTCTAAAGATGTTGAAGGGTCTTCAACCCACAGCAGGTTCTATACTTCTATTAGAAAAATGATGAGATGCAGAAATCCATGAACGCTTTCATTTCATGTATCATTTTTTATTATTATCAGATTTATTAGCATTTACACGAACATTTTCTTTTCACTTGATTCTCAATACCACTGCGGCAGAGTCAAGAATGCGGGTGTGATATCAGGTACCAAGTAGCAAGTACTGGGTAACATGTAGCGGGGTAATGCCAGAGAAGACTGGTACTATTTAGCAGTATAATATAATACCGTATAAACGCTTTATCAAAAAGGCGTATTGAACTTGTTGTGGTAAAAAAAAACGGCGATTCAGGGAAGAAACTTAACGAATTTAATTGTAAGTCTTAAAAGTTTTAATGTCCGAAGCTTTCACCGTTTTTAACAAAAAAATATTCTTTTGTTAATGTTGTTTTGTATAACATTGGAAGCATTGCGAATTGAAATTTGTGTTTGCATGCATAAAAAGCTGAATATACTGACTGAATATTCTGATATTTTGTCCTCGATACGTTGCTTCCTCCATTTGTGCACACGTAATTTTCTCCTTTGACGATAAACATAACAAAATACTTTCTTAGCTTCCTTTCAAAATCAAAGCAAAATGCAGAAGGAATTTACTACTTGAAAGCAAGAACATTTGGAATACCGAAAACACTAGAAAAAATGTTAGCCAAGAAAGAAAAGCAAGCAATGCAACAACTGTTACTTCTTTTTTTTCTTACCGCAAGAGTGGTCATTTCACGGAATTCTCAAAGCGAACCTGCAAATATTTATTTTCATTGCGCAAGCAATCACAATGTGTGGCAAAGACACAATGCTACTTCTATGGAATTCTTCTTGAATTAGGCACATCTTAAATAGCAATTGGGCATGCATTATTTTCGCACAAAGATTAATTTATACGAATAAACTGCCATCTGGTACAAGGTACCCTCCACTCGATATTTGCTTTCCGATATCTGCTTTCCGATACCAGGGACCCGGTGCTTATGCTTTTTTTTTCCATCATGCCAATCTTTTGCAAAGAGTGTCGAAACATCAGCTAAAGCTAGCACCAACAGTCTGCAACAACCTGAATTATCTACTAACGTCTACAAACATGTAATTACTTAACCTGGGTAAAAATTTGTAAATTTCAAATCATGAAAAATTGTGTGTTATATTGTTTGTTTTCATGTTCTTTATTTTTTCTTAATGCAGAAAAGAAAGAAAGACGACGTCGCAAAGGTCATGAACTTTACTTACGATAATGATTACTTTGTTTGTTTATGCCTGTTTACATTTTGCTGTGTTGAAAAGAAACTAATTTTAAGCGTATTTTCTATTTCTATGCAGCCACATTTAAGAATAATAATTTCAAATATAACATGTCCTCTTTGCACTAAATATTAGTTTCTAATGTTGACATTTGGAAATTGACATATAAATGCTGAAAAATTTGTTTAAAACATTGTTGTCTGTGATTAGCTCGGTTACAGCAACAGGTTTATTTGTCCCTAAAAAGAAGTAAAAAGAGTCATTCACACATGACACTGATTGAAAATATACTGGTCTTGATTTTCACTCTTGAAATATCACTGAGTTTTCAAAGTAGATGTATACAACTGATATACAAATTGACAACTGATGTATGAATTGACGTTGTTTTGGGATGGATTTGTGTGGTTGTTAATTCCCGTTTGCTGTTATTATTAACTGTCTTCGAGCAAAATCAATTCATTTAAGAGGCTTTTCGTCTCTATTTAGTCATAATTTTAAAATATAAGATATTGAATTTGAAGTGTAATGCTTAAATGTGATAATAATGTGATTTTTTTATACATTGCAGATAGTAACGATGATGATGAAGGTTAGTTTATCATGTAATATAATACTTACAAATGTTTATAAATTACGCATTAATGACAATAGTTTTTATCGCCGTCAAGTTATTTATGTACCGACAGATCTATTTAAGCATTTATCTTCTCCAGGTGTCTCAATTCTCAGGTTTTCTTTTGAAGATGGCATATTTGTTCTCTTTCAAGTTACTTAGCATTCCAATTCTTTTTCTTTCCTTCGGTTTGTTGCTATAAACTCTTTCCTCGGCCACTTATTTCAACACGTTATTACTGCGAAAGATGTGTCAATTCTACCTCTTTTTAATTCTATGGTATTTCTACCCAACATCTCTCTTTTTTCATCTACAACATCAACATCACTTCTATTGTTTTCCTTTCTATTCAGCCTACTCTCCATTCTTCCCGAGATTCACATCACTAGTGCTTCTATCTTTCTTATATTTATCGCTTGCTCTTCATGACTATGATCCAAAAACGATGCTACATACACCAAACAACTGTTTTAATGATTCAATTTTTCTTTTTTTTACGTATACCTTTTGTGAGTACTTTTCTTTTGTTGAAAGCTGATTTTGCCATATCTCTTTTCATTTTTATCTCTTGTAATTATCTGTTATCAAGGAACCCAAATAACAAATATGTTTTACCGGCGTAATTCTTCATTCAAAACTATATCAAGATTGCCACCAAATTGTTTGGAAACTGCAGTAACTTCTGTCGTCTTTATATTTGTGCTCATAGCATACTCTTCTGATACATCACCCAGTCCATCTAAGATATTCTGCATGATTTTATTCGTCATAAATGCGTGTTATTATCCGTAAGAGACAATTAATTTCAAATGAACATAGTTGACGAACATAAAATGTATGAGACATTTATATAAGATTTATAAAAGCCTCTTTAGGAAGTGAAAGATTATAATTTTACAACTATAATAATAATTTTGTAAATATATGTCTAACAAAACTTACGCAAGGTATTGAAAATCTCACACAGTGGGCTGGCCAAAAACACAAAATAGTGAGTTCTCAAAAAGCACCACAAATTTATACAATGAATTCTTCATTGCTAGGTCATTTATACTCTAGCAAAAGATGGTTTCGGTAGTGTGACACCCTGTATAATTGTACTGCACAGAAATAAATATCACGTATCATATAGCGTCGTTCAAGCTATTATTTACTTCATGGGATACAACAATATCATGACTTTTGCATGGCTTTACAGAAGTTTATCATAATTTAGCCATTCATATTCACGCACTTTTCTCGTCATACTAAACATTGGAGCGTAAGTTTAAAATGTCATTATTCTAAGGCATAGCCTGAGTTCGTGTAACCCATACAGTCTCTTTTTGCGTTCCTAAATATATGACCAAAACATGGATGTCTTTTAAAGTACAATTCTTAACATTTTCAGCGACTAAAAATCAAACACCTCTCTTTAAGCTTTAGAATAAGTTTTAAAAAAATCACTGTTGATTGTTTAGAAAAAGTTAGCCACATCATGAGTATGACAAGCCAGTCTGTGATTATGTTTTATAGTTAGATTGAATTGCTTAGGTACTTTTTTAAAATGCATTTTCAAGCAGTTAGTTTGCTGTGTTTCAATGTAATTATACTGTTTTTTTTTTATATTTAGTTTGTTGTGCAATAGAAGAGAGTGCATTTTATTTCATTGTGAATCCACAGCTCTATCCGCAGCTATTGGTGCTAACTATTTTATGACTCCTGTCAACTTTGAAATCTAATTTATGTTTTAGTTTCCCATAATGATGAACTTGAAAAAGTAGATCAATCTTCATCTTCTCGTACAATGAGTAATACGACTTGTTGATATTTATTAATGGAGCTTGGAACTCTTTTCTTCGCACTAATGTTCTTGTCTTATTCTCTTCAGAGCAACATACAAAACGAGGGGGTGTTTTTCCAAATATCACGTCTTTAGAAAGTGATGACGAAAGTAAAATGAGAGGTAATGAAGTGAGAAAATATTGTGGAATAGCTCACCAAATATTACCTTAATTTTGCTGCATGCGATGTTTTGTATTATGTTATCATATTATTGCATTGTTACATTATTTGAAGATGTTAACGTTGCCAAAAGTGCTGTGCCTTCTAAATCGGAAGCTGGTAAGTAACAGTCTTTTCTTTACTTCCTAGCCTCTTATTATCAACGTAAATTATACATGTAATTCTACATTCTACATACACAATTACTAGTTTCTTTACTGAATTTCTAAAATACAACATTACTACTAAATTTTCACATTTTAAGAGGTGAGCTAAAACTTTTGCATAGTACTGTACTGCATATTTACATAAGATCGTTACACCTGAATATTTGCATAAGATCGTTAAAAGGATGCGAAGGCGATGTGGGCAGCAAAAAATTAAAATGCATGCCAAAAAATGTTCTTTACGAAAATGCTCTTTGTGACTTAGATAATGGTGTGAGTCGTTAAAAAAATCACAAGCGTTGTTTTCAAAATGTCAGCGTTGTGACAGATTGCTATTTTTATCCGAAACCTTCAGAATAAAAATTTTTACGATTGAATGAATTATTTTATTGTGTTGTGTTCAGCAATTATCAATTATTCATTACATTGACGGCAAATTAATTATTTAATTTACACTCCTGAAACTGAAAACGATTGATGCGTTGGCGTTATATTTTGTATTTCCCTACGTCTTGGTTTACTTAAGCAAAATTAAAATAATCTGTTTTTGCTCTTCTACAAGTCTCCGACTTTTTATCTAATGAAAAGAAATGCGTAATTGATCAGTTAACTGCCACGTGTAAATTTAACATAACGTTGTTTTTAAGATATATTTTTTAAATACTGCAATAAAAAAGAATCGACATCGTAAAGGTCGGTATAGTCATGCAAAAACTAGTAGTAATAATGTTTATATGGTTGTTTATGTCTGCTTATGTTCAATGTATTTGAAAAGTGTTACTTTCAAACTCCAGTTTTTTTCTCTCAGCTTGTTTACCCATGCAAAATTCAAACAATGGCTGTAGATTCTCCATGCGTGAAACGTAGTCGTATCATGAACATTAATGCCCATTACTTTGTTTGTTTATGTCCGTTTACATTTTACTGTATTGAAAAGAAACTAATTTTAAGTGTGTTTTCTGTTTCTATGCAGCCACATTTAAGAAGAATAATTTCAATTAGAACATGTCCTCTTCGCACTAAATATTAGTTTTTAATGTTGACATTTGGAAATTGACATATAAAGGCTGGAAAATTTGTTTAAAACATTGTTGTCTGTGATTAGCTAGGTTATTCGTCCCTAACAAGAAGTAAAAAGAGTCATTCACCCACAGCACTGACTGAAAATATACTGGTCTTGATTTTCATTCTTGAAATATCATTGAGTTTTCAAAGTAGATGTATACAACTGATATACAAATTGACAACTGACGTATGAATTGACGTTATTTTGGGATGGATTTTTGTCGTTGTTAATTCCTGTTTGCTGTTTGTATCAACTGTATTGGAGCAAAGTCAATTTATTTAAAAGGCTTTTCGTCTCTATTTAGACACAATTTTTAACAATAAGATATTCAATTTGACGTGTGATGCGTAAATGTAATAATAATGTGATTTTTTATACATTGCAGATAGTAACGATGATGATGAAGGTTAGTTTATCATCTAGTATAATACTTACAAATGTTTATAAATAAAGCATTGACGACAATAATTTTTGTCGCCGTCAAGTTATTTATGTACCGAGAGCTCTATTTAAGCATTTATCTTCTCCAGGTCTCTCACTTCTCAGGTTTTCTTTTCACTTTTACATATTTGTACTCTTTCCAATTACTTAGCATTCCTATTATTTTTCTTTCCTTAGGTTTGTTGCTATACACTCTTTCCTCGGCCATTTATTTCAACAATTTATTACTGCGAAAGTTGTGTCAATTCTACCTCTTTTTAATTCTATGGTATTTCTATCCAACATCTCTCTTTTTTCATCTAAAACAGCAACACCATTTCTGTTGTTTTCCTTTTTATTCAGTCTACTCTCCATAATTCCGGTGATTCGCATCATCAGTGCCTCTATCTTTTTCATATCTATAGCTCGCTTTTCATGACTATGATCCAAAAAAATACTACAAACACCAAACAACTGTTTTGATGATTCAATTTTTCTTTTTCCTATGTATACCTCATGTGAGTATTTTCCTCTTGTTGAAAGCTGATTTTGCAATTTTTCTTTTCATTTTTATCTCTTGTAATTATCAGTTATCAAGGAACCCAAATAACAAATATGTTTTACAGGCGTAATTCTTCATTCAAAACTATCATCAAGATTGCCGCCAAATTGTTTGGAAACTGCAGTAACTTTTGTCGTCTTTATATTTATGCTCATACCATATTCTTCTGATACATCACCCAATCTATCTGAGATACTCTGCATAATTTTTTCCTCCCAGCTAAAATGTATTGGTCATCCACAAACCTCCAGTGGCATATAACCAGCCAACAACTTTGTTAATGCTATGTAAATTTTAATTTATTCACTCACTGTAAAACAATAACTTTCACAAGAAATGAATAATAATAATGGTGTAAAATTTACGTAGGATGAACAAATTTGCGGTCTAGCTACGCCACTGCAAGTCTTATAATGTCTTTCTGTAAATTCATTTCCTCATAATTTGACTCTTTCATCAACACCATGCAATGCTTCTACCATCATCATCCTTTCAGCATAAACAAAAAACAACCTCTGCTCATTCTCTTACTTCTTCAAAACCGCCACTTTGGCGTCAGAGTATGAAATGATTCTTTTGATACATGGGAATGCTGAATGCTGTCAGTTTATTTTTTTCAGAGTATCTGCAACTGGTATGCTCTGGTCGGTAAAACTTTCTTTGACAAAGATATAGAACTGCTCCTTTCCAACCTTTTTACGTTATTAGTGGTTTTGATAATATCACCACTCATTAATTTGTTAGTGTAAATACAATTGTAGCTTCTCGCCTTCAATAAATGGACCTCCTAATAAGTCAAAGGACGATATTATTTTTGAAAAGTGTGAAAATGTGAATCAGGATTTATAAATAAGCGGAGTAGCCAGCTCAATAAATTGGGGAGGCGAGCTTATATTCATAAATGTGTGTTATCATCCCTAAGAAATAAATAATTTCAAAAGAACTTTATCTTGCAAAACATGTATAGTGAATATTATTATGTCATCATCGAGTTAGCTACGCCACTGAAGAAAGCTGTGTATTGTATTATATTATCATTTGGTAATGTTATTTATTTGCATTGTTCCAGCTTCGAAAATAAAGGAACTTTCTGAATGTCAATTGAATGTTAATGACAGTTTGAAAGACAGCTATGCAATGCCTTCATCAGGTAACAAAATTTTTATTTTATAGAAAAATCATTCTTCGTTGCTATTTTTATCATTCTATCATTGCTATTTTTGACTACTTCCGTTATAATGGTGCAAAATAATAAATTTTAAAAGGTTTACTCATTCCTATACTGTCCCCATTTTACGACGGTGAGATACTCAACTGTGAATCGAATGCAAAACATAAATATAAACTTTGTGCTAGGGATTAATGATGGTTGTCTTAATGCAGAAAAGAGTGTGGAAGAAGGATACGTTTGTGAAGGTTTGGTTATATATCCGTGTTTATAAACATACAACATTCTTAATAAATCAAAGCGTTCTCAACTTTCACTGTGTTGCAACTAAATTATTTTTTGCTATTGCGCTTGCACACGACGATAATAAAATTTTTGTTTTCAAAATTGATTGTGCAAACTATGTGTTTGTCTACAATAACCTTAAAAGTATAATGATAGCTATATATAAAAATACTTTTATTTGTTTCCACATATTACATCATTACTTATGTGACGACCAATATCTTGACCAATGGATATTTTCCTCGTAATGAATACAGAAACAAACATGTTATTGGTGAAGAGAAAAACCAATCAAAAATACTTTTTATAATGGAAAATTGTAATTTATGGTTCTGTAATTTTTATATTTTCTTATATTTATAGTCGGTGTGGTATTATGTTGCGACCAAATCTTAAAAGAAGCCCATACATTAACATTGTTCATAGTTCATGATAAAGAGCCCATTAAATTGTTTTGTTGTGTTATAAATAAAACAAAAAATGCTCTAGTTGCTTGTCACTTAACTATATAATATTTTAATATTATTTTATTATTTATTTTTCATAATGCAGAAGAGGGAAAACAACGTTTGGAAGGTTGGTATAACGAATTATTTTCAATTTCGTAAAGGATTGTGATTAATTTTTTTTACTGCTCTGAATTGCTCGAGTTGAAAAATGCTATGTAAATTTTTTCAATTTTTAAAATTTTTTAATGACTATTAATTAAGAATAAAAAATTCTTTTCATTACATGCATAAAAATGATCGTGTCTGAACGTAAAGTGCAGCATGTCGTAAGCAACCATTTTAACTATTTCTTATTGCTCCCAGTTTAAACAAAGTCCGTTATTGAAGGGATCGTTGCTTTGTAAACATTTGTAGAGATCATTGAGTAAATTCAATTTATTTTAAGAGGATTTTTGGTCATAACATTCACATAGTAAATTTCATAATTTATGTTAATGTAATAAGGATGTGTGTTTTATCCATTGCAGAATTGCTCAATCTAGAATAGCAGATCTAGCGTTAGTCAAAATGAATTATAGATGCTCAATTTTAAATTCAAAATATATTCAAACCAAAACTATTGAATTTGAATTTCAAAAAATTAAACTTTATCAATGGACCTTCCTCCATGTATTTGGAAATGGAAATATATCCAAGCATAAGCTGCAGCAATTTATTTTGACGTACCCTAGATCCGCCACTGGTTTTATTGAGTTAAATGTTATTTCCATATCAAAGTAAAAACATCCGTGTTTTCTCATCCAGAGAAAAACACAACAATGTTATATGTTATGTGATATTGCCAAAACAATAAAACTGTGAATTGATGAATTTATTGCATGAATTTATCAGTCCTTTAATCTCTCCTGATTTGTACTTCTCCTTTAAGTTCAAGAATTGTTGCGTGAACCATGGAAATGTTTTGATAAATCAATAATGCATCAGGAAAAGTTTAAAAAGATGGAGGAATATGGACGCAAACATCCAGAAAAAGTTACACTGCTCAGTGAATTGCGTGTAATTTTCAAAAAGGAGTATTTGCTTGGCAAGGGAAGTGATGGAACCCGTGTTTACCTTGCCCTGGGAAATGATGGTTATGGAAAAGCAGTAAAGCGAATACGCAAAGATAGCGGCAAAGACTATGCAAATCGAGAAAAGGAAACTTTGAATGAGCTTAATGCAAAGCGATCAAATTATGTTGTGAATATTTGGCATTTAGAAGAGAACCTTGACGAAGAATATTTGTACATGATATTAGATTTGTGTGAAGAATCGTTAGAGGATTATGTGGAATCTTCTTCTTTGCAAGATCTTCTAAAAGTCGTCCCTAAAATTCTTATTCAGATCTTAAATGGTCTAGCTCACCTTCACAGCGGTGATCGTCCTATTCTTCATCGGGATTTGAGACCATCAAACGTTCTTCGAGATGTACAAGGAAATTTTTTAATTGCTGACTTTGGTATTAGTCATATTTTATGCGATGGAGCTGTGACTCATCAAAGCATACAGAGAGGAGCTAAAAATTGGATAGCTCCAGAGTCATATAACGCATCAGATGCAACAGTTGATAAAGTTCTTTACAAAAAAGAGTCTGACATTATGGTATGTTCTTGAAGTAGAACAAGAAGTCCAACTACAGCTCAATGTTTTATTTGCATTTAATTAAATATTGGTATTTGGTAGTGATAATGATTTTACCTCAATTTTTTTCTGTACCTCGATTTTATCGTCATATAGTGTCAGCCTATAAATTTAAATAGAAATAAATTAATTTTTGATAAACGTGTTACAGTTACAATTGTATGTTCCTAATTTAGGTTGCTTTTAATACATATGTATGGCTACAATTCCATTTGGAGAACATTTTTTAGATTTTTTTAAGCTGCACATTTATTGTTGAGTTCTGCAAATCGCAAATAAATTTAATCTTTAAGGTTTTAGTATCCACCACTGACTGTTTATGACAAATTTTTTTTGAAAATAGAATGCAGGAATGGTGGCTTATTATGTTGCAACAAAGGGAAAACATCCTTTTGGAGATGAACGGCTTAGACTGGACAACATTTTGAAAGGAAATCCAGTTGGCTTGGACGAAATCGAGGATGCCACGTTCAAAGACCTTTTATCGTGGATGCTACAGCTAAAACCTGAAGACAGGCCATCTGCCAATGAGGCGTTAAAACACCCTTATCTACAATCAGAAGAAGAGAAATTTAATATGCTGTGTGATATTGGGAACCAACTGAAGGTGAAACATTCACAAGGTCAAAATTCTCCCACTTCAGACGTTCATAAGCAGTTGCATGGTTCCACAGAATGGATGAAGCGTATCGATGATGAAGTCGTCAAAGATTTGATCAACTTTGAAGTAAACGACAGTATAAAAGCTCCAAAGTACGAGTCTACATGGGCAGGATGCTTAAGATTTATGCGAAACGTTGACCAACATTGGCAAAATAAGCCTCGTCCGCATCTATCACAACATGTGAAGCAAGGCAATTATAAAAAGTATTTCCTGCAACGTTTTCCTGAACTTCCTCTTCTGGTGCACAAAGTCATTAGGTCACTGGAAAACGAAATCTGTTCACAAGAATAATTAAGAACATCGTGCATTTGTTCAGGATTTGTTTACACTATCTACTCATAAGTTTTATTGTCTCGCTTTTAAATTTAATGACTTTTCATTTAAACATTTTCTCACTTGATAATGGAGTCTTATAATTAATTATGTAATATATACTGTGAAAAATTGTAATCTCCGCAAATGGATATGATTACTTAAAAAAATTTATAATGGGACTTAAAATATTACTATTTCGAATGTATAGTCATGTAGTGGCAATGTATCCCTCGCAATACATGGCATTCATCTTGTTAAATGAATTAAAATTGTATGTTCGTCATTCGTATTTTGTTAAATATATACATGGCTGTGACTGAAAATTATTTAGATTTTTGAGCGTTGGAGATTGACCTCATCGCAGAGTACAGAGAGGAGTTAAGAACCAGGGGTGGATTGAAACTACGTCACATTCAGCACGCGACGTAGTTAAATTCTTCACAGCAGCGGGAAAAATTAATCAAATTTTAAATGCCCCTAGTTCAAAATAAAAGCAATTTGCCGCGTGTGGAACGAAGTCCGTTTTGTCGAAAGGACGAAGAGCATTTTTCTATTCGTCTTTTGCAGGTTCGAGTCTCATCTCGGTATGGTGTAGTTTGTTTCGTTGTGTGAATAATGATCATGAATTCTTTATCCGAAAATTAATTAAATTTTTTCTGTCCTCACAACGAAAGCATTAGAAAAATAAACATATTGTCAGGGTTAGGGATAGTATTATGAGAAAATTGTGCAACAACGTGCATTCACTGAGCAATGTTATTGTTTCCAAGACCTGGATTAAGATTGGGATTAAGGGATCAAGTGGCTAAAATAAATTATATTTCACTTGCGGGAGAAATACCCATAGCTAACCCGCACAGAGTCAGCACGCCTTAAATTGTGCTGAATTTGGAGACTAAAATCTGTCTCTTGATTGGTTTATTGCCGTTGTGCTGACTAACGAGCCGCCGTTTTTGCTGAAATGTTCAAGCGGTGTTGTGCGAAATTCAGCACAGATTGAGATTGTTGATAGCTGAGGTTTTATCTTTGAGCTTCAAAACCAACGATTTTAATGAGAAGCATGGCATCTTTCACTGATCGAGTCGAAGATGCTTTTACGAGGAAAGATGGGACTTTATGGCTCAACTCTACGGAGAGATGTTGGATTGCCTGAAAGTCAACAGCATTGTTACCAACGATAATTTGTTGGATCGTCTCGGTGTTGATATTTTCCGAAATATCAATGCCGAATTTTACATACCGCAGAGTGCCAAGACAAAGAACACAAATTTGGTTGCCTTAAGGTTAGAAAACTTATGACATGTTATGCATGCATGCTTACACAAGAATATATAAGCAAATATAAATTGACTTGATGTGATGCCCGATGGATTTGTCATTTGTGGTTTATTTATGTGATTCAAAACAAAACAAATTTTCGAATTTCGATCATATTTAAAACGTTTCTATTGATTTATTTCTTGATGTGTTTAATAGTATACTTAAGATAAGATATACAAAATGAACTGAAGCATAATATTTGAAATTTACATAACATTATTTCAGATCTGCTACAAATGGCAACTGCCTCTATAGTTCATTGTCAATTCTGCTTGTTGGTGACAACTCTGTGGTGACTATTTTGAGGCTCATGACCTCTATAGAATTATTTTTATATGCTGATTATTATGCAAACATCCATGTTTTTCAAATCTTTTTGAAACTCAGCATAACAAACACTTTGATTCCATCTCAAGCATGGTGGCCATGTCAGTCTCTTTTGAAGCTATTGATAGTGCTGGAAGTGGTTGTTCTGTTGCTGAACTGGTCAGGGCAGAAGCTGTGTTAAATGCAAAAGATATGGCATGGACTGGGTTTGTTTGTTTGTTGGCACTCTCTTCAGTTACATCCTGTAGCATTTTTTCTTACTATCCTGACATATACTCTAGTGCTTATAGGTGGAATTTATTATTTAACCAAAGAATTGAACCTCGAATTCGATCTAGAGCTTGTGCTTCCACTAGTAATTATTTGCGAGTTTTGTTTTGCTTTGAAGGTTCAGCTCCTCAAGCAACTGCATTCAAACACAATCACTATGTGCCTTTGATACTTGGTGGGAAGGGAACTAAAAGAAAGGGAAGTAGTCACTTGTCACAAGCTAAAAGGCCCAGTATACAAACAAAGTTGAGGTTTACACCTTCTGGTCCTACTGAGACAACCATGACAACTAAGGCTCATCCATATGGTATATCTCACAGTAGCACTTTGGGTTCTTGTGATGCTTCTTTTATTTCATCTTCTACCTTGCAATTACCAGATAATAAAACTGCAAATGCTGACTTGCCTAGAAATCCATATGATGTTGGTTTTTATAGAGAAAAGGTGAGAGGTATGGAAATTCATGAAATTGAAAAACTTGTGAAGAATGTATTCGTACCTCATGAATGCTATGAATTTCCTAAAACTGTTGATGCAAATGGTCGCAGTAGGTCCTTTCGACATGATTGGCTGAAGGATTATCTTTGGCTTTCGTATTCTCCAAGTCTTAATGGTGCTTTTTGCTTACCATGTGTTTTGTTTGGTGATAGGTTTCCAAAACAGTCGAATTAAAATATTTTTTCAGAGCCATTAACACATTGGCCTGATGCTAAAAGTGCAATAAAAGGCATATAAGTACATCATCAGGTCTTCATGTTCACACGGCTCTTCTTAAGGATATCTTGGATCAGAGTTCGGTAAAGCCAGCCAATAAATGTCATGATTGACAGTAACTTAAAAAAAGATTTCAGAGAATAGGAAAAATTAGTTCCAGTAGTTGATACCATCATTCTTGCAGGTCGCCTTCAATTACCACTTAGAGGTCATCGGGATGATTCTCAGTATCATCCTGAAGTTGGTGAATATTCTGAAAAGCATGTTGGTAATTTTATTGAATTATTAAACTTCCGTGTGCAGGGGACACCATTTTGGAATCCCATCTTAAGCATCATGATAAAAATGCCTCCTACATCTCTAAAACTACTCAGAATGAGTTAATTAGGTGTTGTGGTCAATTCATCACTGAACAGCTTCTAGTTGAAGTAAAAAAGAGCAAGTTTTATGCATTGATTGCAGACGAAACATGTGATATTTCTAATAAAGAACAGATGTCTTTGGTTTTGCGTTTTGTTGACGAGGAGTTCAACATAAGAGAAGAATTTTTTCGTTTCATTCATTGTAGTGAGGGTATGTCTGGGAAGGACCTTGCATCTGTGATTTTGAAATGTTTAAACGAAGAGTTGAATTTGAACATTCAGGACTGTCGTGGGCAGGGGTATGATGGCGCAGGTGCTGTTGCTGGATGCATTAATGGTCTTGCTGCAAGGATTAAGAATTTGAATGAGAAAGCCATTTACACACATTGTTTCAGTCACAGATTAAATCTTAGTATTTGTGGTACTTGTGCTGTTCAGTATGTAAGAAATGTTTTGGAACATCTGAAGGAAGTTGCTAACTTTTTCAACTCTTTCCAAAGCAGACAACTAATTTTGGAGAAATGCATTAGAGAGCACTGTCCTGATTCTGCAAACAAGAGATTGAAAAGTGCTTGTAAGACAAGATGGGTTGAGCGTATTACTAGCTTAGATACTTTTGAAGAACTGTATGTTGCTTTTGTTTTTCCTTTAAAGAAATGATTTTTTACGTCGAAGGCAAGTGTAATCGTTAGACCTCTAGTAAAGCTTCCCCTCTGTTACATCTTTTGACATCTTTTGATTTTATTGCAGCACTCGTAATAACTAGATGTATTTTTGATCTTACTCTTCCAGTTACTCAGTTACTTCAGTCTTCTAGTAATGATATTGTTGACGGTTTGAACTTGATAGAGGCATTAAAAATAATGTCGAAAACTGTAAGAAATGAGGTCGATGTTTATCATGCTAACTGGTAAAGTATTGCATCGACGATGGCAGAAAAGGTGGGTGTTAAGGAGAAAAAACCTAGAACTTATGGTCGTCAGGCAATTAGAAGTAATGTTCGGTCTGAATCTGTATCTGATTACTATAAGAAAACAATACCATTCCTTTAGCTTATCACTTGTGTTCTAAGTTAGAAAAAAGGTTTGATTCATCAGCAACTAGCATATATTATGGCTTGTTTTTAATTCCATCCAAGTTACTTTTGTGTCTTTCTTGTGGCGTTTCTTGGAAGGAAAATTTTTATTCATTTTCTTCTTTGTTCTTGGATGATCTTCCAAATCCAAAGGCTTTAGATGGTGAACTTGATCTCTGGCAGAAATACTGGGAATCGTCTTCTACAACTTGTCTTCCTGAAAATGTCTCTTCTACTTTAAAGTCAGTAAATTTTCCAGGTTTTGAGAACATAAAAGTATTGTTAAAGATCTTAGGTACTATTCCAGTCACTTCTTGTGAGTGTGAGAGGTCGTTCTCTGCTTTGAAGACTAAAGAACTATACAAGAAGTACTATGGCTGCTGACAGGTTAAATGGTCTTGCTTTATTGTATATTCATCAGGACATTAATCTAGATATAGAAAAATTATAGATCTTTTGCAAAAGACAAAGAAGAATTGAACTAGCTTTCTAGTTCGGAGTGAAAGTTCTTCATGCCTTTTTTAAACTCTTGACTGTAAAGATGACTGCCGCTAACCTCAGTCAATATAAACACAAACAATCGTTCTCAGGACTTTACTTACCTGGACGATCGAAATCTACAAACATTTTTTTGCTTTTTTTTTTATTGACAACTTCATTTGATAAATTGACATAAAATCGTTTGCATAATAATCAGCATACAGGTATGACTAGACCATTATAAAATGAAATTCCATATTGATGAAGCGTAAAGAATTTTTTTAGGCTAAGTTTGTAATGAACCAGGCCGTCCATGTCGGAAGCCCTCAAAGCATATTTTTTGGCGAGTTTCCTAGGCATGCTGATGAGCTCTGATGTTGAGCGAAACGGTCAAAAATCGATAATTTATGAGCAAGAATGTTAGCTCATAAAAATTTTAGAAGACCAGCTGCAAAAACGCAGGAAATAGCGTTTTTCGCAATACAATTTTAAAATTTTACCGGGGGGGACATGTTCCTGGACCCCCCTAGAAAAGTCGCGCTAACGGTGCGACATTGTGCCTAAGTTCATATACGAAGCTGGATCCGCCCCTGTTAAGAACTGGATAACTCCAGTCATATGATCTATCCAACATCCAATCATCAATATATCTTGCTACAAGAAACAGTCTGATGTTATTATAACTGTATGTTGTGGACATTTAAATGTAGTTGAATTCTGCAAATAGCAAATAAAATCAATTTTTGACGTTTCAGTATCCACCGCCACTAACCATGTAACTGTTATGATGTTTTTTATTGATTTTAGAATGCAGGAATAGTAGCTTTTTACGTTGAAACAAATGGAAAACATTGCTTTGGACCTAAACGGTTTTTATTTTTTCGTAAATGTTTTCATTATGAAAGCTAGTTGATATTGGCAAATAGTTGAAGTCAATTATTTAAGTAACACTTTATGCAATGAAATTTGTCTAAATTATTTAATGAAATACAGATTATGTTTTTTACTTCATTCCAAAGATTTGAGATATTTTTTGACAAATCTTCCTTTTCCCTTTTGCTTTTGATTATTGGCCATATCCAAGCTGTTTGTACACCTGCCACATTTCAACATCATATCAAAATGCTTTATTAATAATTCTCCTCTTTGTAAATGGAAAACACCCATAGATTTTCCATATTCCATTCTAAAATAGGAAGATTTTTCGTTCGCAAGCCTGTTATGATCATTCTCAGTCCTACTCGTGTTACAGTTCATTACCGTTCGCATCAAATTATCTCGAGAGCTATTTAAGATATCGGCAAAATATACGCATAGACCGCAGTCCTGTGTTTTTCTACTGTAGAAGCCCAGCCGGGCATTTCTACGAAGTTGACCGACATTTCTTGCTACTTGGAGTGGACGTGGATGAAATCAAAGATGCGACACTAAAATCAGAAGACAAGCCAATAGGAATGATGAAATGGTCAACGGCAGCCAGTAAACGAATTAAATATACAGCAGCCAGTTGCGCAGCCATGGAGCATTTTTAACCCTGTGCTGAATTGAGCTCCGTTAAGTGAGTTTAAACTTCAGCTCAGTCTTAATACAAATCATTCGCTATATAAAACGCGCGATTATAAGCCAAATTTTCTACCCTGTGCTAAGTTCAAGCCCAATGCTGAAATTTCAACCCCGTTTTAGCTAATTGGGTTAAAAATGCGGCTCCAATTAGGGGCTGATTACAAAAGCCCGG